CACCCCACCCATTTATTGAGCATGCTACTACTCTGGGCGGCTTACAAAATATTATAAAATATATAGCTAAAATATTAAAAACATATAAAACATATTAAAAGAAAATAAAACCCTACCACACCACACCCAAATCACCAGTCTGGGTCACAGGATGGCAGATAACAAGCCAGCATAAGGGTGATGCTTGGGAAAGCCTGGATAAAAAAACAGGTTTTAATTTGCTTGCGGAAGCTCAGGGGAGCAGGGGCCAGCCGCACCTCCACAGGAAGAGAGTTCCAGAGCAGAGCAACCACAACTGAAAAGGCCTGGTTTCTGGTTGATGCCTTCCAGGCCTCTTGTGGAGTGGCCACCTGCAACATTAAAGACTACGAGGTATGGGTTGGACGGGAAGATGACCTGAGAGGCACTCTGACAGGTAGCAAGGTTCTAAATAGTAAAGGGCTTTATAAGTTAGCATCAATACCTTGAATTTGGCCCAGAAGCATACTGGCAGCCAGTGCAAACGAGCCAGGACAGGTGAAATACAGTCAGAGTTAGATGTATCAGTGACTGGCCTGGCCACTGCATTTTGCATTTGCTGCGGTTTCCGAACCACCTTCAAGGGCAGCTCCATGTAGAGAGCATTGCAACAGTCAATCCTTGAGATTACCAGCACATGAACCAGTGTTATTAGGGATCTCCTGTTGAGAAGGGGACAGAGGTGTGCAATCTCCCTCAGATGGAAAAAGGCAGATTTGGCCACAGCCAGGATCTGTTTCTCCATCAAGAGGGCTGGGTCCAGAAGCACACCCAGATTTTGCACCTGATCCTTCATGGGGAGTGTGACCCCATCAAGATCAGGTAACAGACTCCCTAACCGATCAGGATGCCTTCCTAACAACAGGATCTCCGTCTTCTCAGGATTCAATTTCAGCCTATTTGTGGAGTTGGTGCCCTGATGGGCCATTCTTCAATATCTTATACAGTTCAGAAAAAAATCAGGACAAGGCTGCATTGTCCTCAAAATAATAAAAATGCAAGAATATGTTATACTTTTATTGGACTGTTAAGAATATAAAACAAACAAAAAATAAAGCGAGCTTTTGACGATACTTCAACAGTAGACCAATGTGAGTTCCTGAACATCATTTATTTATTTATTTATTTATTTATTTATTTATTTGATTTATATCCCGCTCATCTGGTAAATCTATACCACTCTGGATTCTTGAAACCAGACAAGCAGTACTGCATGCTGAGAAAAGCACTGTGTAGGCATCCTTCAGTCTCAAGAGACTATGGTAATGTGCTCTGAATAGAGAGGTCTTGGAACAGTGTCTATTGTGGCTGAGAAGGCTAATTCAAGAGTGACAATCCCTTCCACACTGAAGACAAATACAATCTGTCCCCGTGCAACTCCCTGATTTTGCTGGTTTTGAGACTGCCTCTTTGCCTCAGCTTGCTGGACAAGTGTCTCTTTTAATTGGGAGAGGCCATGATGCATCGCCTGCCTCCAGGCTGAACACTCAGATGTCAAGATTTCCCAGCTGTTGAGGTCCTTTCCTAAGGCCTTCAGATCCCGCTTGCAGATGTCCTTGTATCACAGCTGTGGTCTCCCTCTGGGGCGATTTCCCTGTACTAATTCTCCATACAGGAGATCTTTTGGAATCTGGCCATCAGCCATTCTCACAACATGTCCAAGCATCCACCAGATAAAATTATTAATTTGGCTTTAATTTGACTGCAATTAGCTGTTCCTGGTGGTTTAACTAAATTTTTAACCCCAACTCTGATGAAGGCTTGTCAAGCTTCTGTTACCCTGCTTGTTTTCCCTAGCCAACCAGAAACTCAAATGAAGGAGGAAAGGAGCAAAGGAAGTGGGGGGGGGGGGGGCAGAATGATGGTCACCTTTTGCTTAGAGAGATGTGTCATAAATTCCAAAGCACAGACTGAAGAGGGGATTGAAACCACACCCTTCTCCCACAAGCCTCTGGCAGACTGTAGACTACAGCTATCCCCATCTCAGAAGCTACACCTAGCCCCCAACAGTGGCCATGAATCTTTTGGGGCTTTAATATAAATACAGAATTTTGGAGCTACCCACACAAATTTGGTGCATAGCCTGAGGAAGATGAAGTACCATCAAAAGCTTACTTTATTTTTTATTTTATTTTCTTAATGGTTCAATTAGGGTATCACTTTTTTCTGCATCTGTATTGTTTTGAGGACCATGCAGCCTTCTCCAGATTTACTCTCAAAGACACTGACTGATTTATTTATTTATTTACAGCCTACCTTTTCTTCAAGGAGGTCATACCAATACGTGGTTTGCTCTGGCCATTTTTATTTTCTCAACAGCTTTGGGAGGTAGGCAAGGCACAAGGGTACCCAATAAGCTTCATAAAGTAGTAAGAATCCTAACTTGAGTCTCCCTGGTCCTATGGCTATTATTCCACACTGCCTTGAGACAATGAATGAGTCACTACAAAATATCATTACCGTCCCATGGATGAGTTCATTAACAGCTAAGCACATTAATCTGAGCTTGTTCTCCCAGTCCATTTTTTTTTGCAAAGAACATCAAGTGTAGCAACATACTTTATTCAAAATATTGATGTCACTGCCTGCTTGCAGTAAGAGATCAGCACATTTTTCATGGCCTCCTTCAACAGCCAGATAAAACGGCGTTTCACCATTCTGAAACAAAACAAAAAACATAGAGAGAAATTCATTAGTATTAACACAACATTATTTTCAGGATCATCAGTACCCAGTTGAACACTGCCTGAGGCAAATAAAAATTTCTTTGGATAATCAATCTAGGGCTTTTTTTGTTTTGTTTTGGTATGTTGGGAGAGAGCCATAACTTCTTCCCATCAAGCTACTGGGTTGCACTAGTACATGGGGGCCTGCACAAGATAAAAAAAATAATAATTGAGGTGTGTTAAATCACAAACTTATTTGCAAGACTGATTGCCATTTTCACCCTTGCCCCACAATTTAACAATTGCCCCACAGGCAAAATTCTAGTATCAATATGGATGAAATATGATAGGGAAAGTTCAGCTTCCAAGATCTCACTTTCTTTCTTCTTTTTTGCTCTTTCCCTTTCCATATCCCTCCATTTATCCTTTGCCATTCATGACACCATGCCTGACAAAGCGGTATGGAAATCTGAAACATTGCCCATAATTTTGTGCCTTTTTTCTCTTTTTGAAAAAATCTGGCCCAATAAAGTTTTCACTGCAATACAGATTTTGACTTTTTCTTTGTCGTGCAGCCGTTTGAAGCTCTGGAGGAGCCCTGACAGAAAAAAAGTAACAAACATGAACAAGCATGTTCTGTGCCAAGTTAGATACTCCTTTTTTTTTGTATAATGCAGGAGGATGACTCAACTCTTTTTTAGTTGGAGTGAGAAAAAGATTCCCTATCGTGGTCTGGGAGCACATGCTGCAGCCATTGTTCTGTGGGTAACTGATGAGTCTTGCTTTGGTCAATCCCTTTCTGATTAGCAAACCTTGAGGTGCAGCACACTACCGCTTAATATGTATTCACCTTTTACAGTGCAATGTGAGACATTAATCCAGAACATGGAAAGGTGACCTTTTGGACTGTAACTCCAGCTGGAAGATTCTGGGAGCTGTAGTCCAAACTGCAAGTTTTCCAAGCTCTGCATAAGCCCTGTTTAGTTCATGGGGCTTACTTCCAATTGAGAGTACATAGGGTTGCAGTTTCAAGTGTCTTATCCCTTATGTTTATATGGGGGGTGGGGTGGGACTGCTCCATAAATTTGACATTTTGAAAGCCATTTTTTAGTTGTGGACACATGTTTTATCTTTGATGTCCAAAATAGCAGCTGTGTTTCCTTTTTATAATTTCTATCATTCCTTATCTATCACCTGTTTTACCTGATTGAACTCATTTATTTCTTCCCACTGAAGAAGGAGAACTTCTACCACGTTATCATGGCCATTTTTAGCCGCCAGATGCAATGCAGTGTTTCCTTCCTGTTTTAAAAAAAATGTAAACTCATATAGATAATTTGCATTCATGTTAACAAAAGAAGGAAGGAAGGAAACAAACAAACATTTTTTTACAGCAAATAGTTAACTATAGGGATCTGTATGCAACCCTGTGTATACCCCATATACACATAAACAAGGCAGGTCTGGCATGGAAAGTGGAGTACATCATTTAGAGTTTGAAGGATTATGACAGATTAGGCATCTATGCTCAGGCTTTTTAAAATAACCAAATATTACCCTTTTAAATGTGCTTATCTGCACTTGATTTTATCGGTATCTGTTTTAATATCTCAATCTGTCTTGATTTCCAAAGATGGAATAAATCAGACACATTTTACTATTTCTAAAACATACCTCACATAGTTTATGGAAATGTTTTAACATCTTCAGCTTTAAGGAAATTTATTTTGGTTTTTGTTCTGTTTTCAATAATTTATAGATTTAGGGCTTGCTCTCTCTTTCATATTTGAGTGTTGCTTAGAAGAATGTAAAAGCTTTAAATACATTATTATTGCCCATTATCATCACCACGACCATCCTTTTTTGAAAGCACTTTTTCATCTGTGGGGTTGCAAATAAAAGCTTGGTAATGTGTGGGTTTTATTTCTTCTCACACATCCTTTCCTCCTCGTCAATACTACAAGCTTTTAAACTTACTCTTCCCACTCTTTCTTTATACCTAGTTCTGTGTCTGTCCATGAAAATGGAATAGCCAGATACAGGAAATGAACAGAAGGAAAGGAGTGAAGCATCAATACCATATCACACCTTGAAAAACAAAGTGAAGTGAAAACACAAAATTTAATTACCATTCATTCTGTGCATTACAATTCATAAAATATTAAACAGCTTAATCACATAGGAGCAAACCTAACAGGTGGGAGAAAGGGAGGTTGCCACAGTATTCAGAACATTGTCAGTACATAAGCAGCCAGGGCAGGGCTGGGGGTGGGGTGATGGCGGTTTCCTATAATTTTTAATCCCAGTGACCTACCATTTGTGCTAGTAGATATCTGCTTAGTTTGCCAATGAAATGGGACTTTTTTTTAAACTTGCCTTCCCCACTTCAACTCTCTGCACTGCTGAAAACCTCCAGAGAGTTTCTTGGTTCTTGGAACACAGTTTTGTAGACACATGGGGCTGCCACTGAAATCACTCACACCAGTTTTTGATTTATTTGTAAATGAAGGATTTATTCTTACACCCTCCTGGAATTCAGCATTTCAAAGCCTGCCATGGCCTATCAGCAATAGGAATATCATCAGTGGCAGATTTATGCCTGTACATGGGCAAAACTGGAGACTAGGAGTTACCGGTTCCCTCCCACTAAAGGTCTTCTCCACCCTATCCTAACCTCTCTCAATATTATAATGTTATTATGTGCCTTTCAATGAGTAGAGATGTCTCATGCAAAACAAAGTCTTGAGTACAATTTTAATACAGGTGAAAGGATCTTCTTATATAAGCATAGATCTACTGACATTTGGTATGCATTGCCCTGTAGATCTATCAACAGGAAGATAAGTAAACAAATATTGTAAAAGTTACATATAAATATAGTAGCAGTACATATTGAATATAAAAGTGAAATTAAGCACTGATTGTCCTGTTTAAAATTATTACTGGCACAATTTTTAGTTCCTTGTTTGGTATTATAGATAACAGCTGAAGATGTCATTTATTACAAAACACACAAAGGCAAGTAATATGCTGCTTTTTGGAATTCTTGCAATACACTTACGTTGTCTTTTCCTGAGGTGAATAAGTTAAGAGAAACCAGCTCATTTACCAGTTCCGCATGGCCCATTTCAGCTGCCAGATGGAATGGCTTTCTACCTTTCTAGGAGACAGTAAATGATAAAAATATCAGTCTGGGAGAACTCAGCTCTTGTAGATGTGTTAGCCCTTAGAGCAGCCTTTAGTCAGCAAAGTGTAAACTCTATCCAAAGATGGAGATCGGCAACTGGGCTTCATGCCAATTAAAACTCCCGTCTTCAAGTCAGCAGGGTTGGGGTAGGGGAGAAAGAGAAGGTCAAAGAGAAGGTCAAACTAGACACCAAGGGAAATGTGAATTCCCATCAAACAATCAGTTTTCCCATCCACAGGAAAGTTTCCTCAGAGAGCCTTGCCTTAGCAATCAGACTTGTAAATTAATTCCATGTTTACCTTCCAGTGACCAATAACAAGATAACCCATTTAAATGCAAGATGTAAGGTAAATTGTATGAGGACAAATAGCTCCACATGTTTCTAGTTTAACAAACAGCGAGAGAAAGGGTGGTCAGAAGGAGAAAGATATGAAAAAGGCTGAGAGAAGGAGTAACAAAGGGGGAAAATGTTCTCCCTCAGATTATGCAAATTGGACCATAGTTATCCTTCTGATTCCACACTTATTTGAATGCTGATATACAGTTCCTGACTAAAATGCTCCAATCAAAATGGTGGTCTTGACTCCCTACATTAAAAGAAAGACAGGATATAAATGAAATAAAGGAAGGAAGGCTGTGTAGAAAAATGTATATTTTATTGAAGGTTGAGTGCCAAACATTTATATTAAGTAAAGATTAATACTACACAGGTGTATTAAAAAATCAGGAAAAGCTGTGCACAAAACCAAATACAAAACCTTGATTTGTTTTTATTGCAATATGACAGAGACATTGGACTCAATGGACTTATGACTGAGCAAAGAGACAAGAATTAAAATCTAAACTGATTCATAGAGTACACATACCTAATTGTGCATGAGAGTCAGATGACAGTGTAGGTAGGCATGTGGTTATAGTCAGAATACAGTGGTTCAAAAAAGGAGCAACAGGATCATACTGCCAACAAGAACATATACACTGGCCAAAATCCTGTTGCATAGTGTAGTAAATCACACATTAGAATAGGCTGACTGAAATTTCCATTGATTCAAATGACCCTACTCTAACTGCAACATACTATTTGCTTTCAACCACATACATTAAGAAAGGGAGAATGAAAAAAAAATTGGTAACTGCTTACATTGTCTCATACTCCTTTTGTTGGCTGGCTTTTTCATTGTCTCATATTCCTTTTGTTGGCTGCTCCACTAGTGGAGGTTTAGAGGAAAATCAGAAAGTACCAAGAATATACTCAGGAATACTTATAAAGAATTTTTTTTACAAACTATCAATAATACCACCTGTCAAATAGTCCATAGCTTTATCATATGTAGACAATACCTCATCAGGCTTATTAAGGTCCAACAGGTGAAGATCTTGGATAAAATAATCCACTATCCTAACATTATTGTTCTGAGCAGCAAAATGCAGGACATTCTTTCCTTCCTAAGGAAAAGACAGAATAGTACTGTAAGAGAGACTTAGAAATTATTCTATTGTGCAAGTATGTAATCTTGTTTTAGACTTGTCTGTAACAAACCTTGTTCTTAGCTTTTTGATCTGCACCTGCTTTAATTAACATGAGCATTATCTCCAGGTTTCCAGACCAAGCAGCAAGATGAATCGCAGAAAGTCCATGCTTTGAATTAAAAAAAGAGAAAAGGTAGAATGTCACAATGAAATTCCAGTTTTTTCTTTTACAGATATTGTGTGTAATACAAAAAGGATTTAGGAAGATAGCTTTTCATAAATGGCTATTTTTAAATACAGTATTATGGTCAGGGTAGTGAGAAGAAAAATACTCATTGTACTCTGTGTGTGTGTGTGTGTATGTATGTATGTATGTATGTATGGACGTATGTATGTATGTACGTATGTATGTATGTATGTATGTATGGACGTATGTATGTATGTACGTATGTATGTATGTATGTATGTATGGACGTATGTATGTATGTACGTATGTATGTATGTATGTATGTATGGGAGGGATACATACATACATACATACATATATGGGAGGCTTACGAATGACACAAATGTGTGCCTCTCTCATTCTGGGGTCAAGTTGGGTCCATTAAATGCCCCAGAATAGATAAACATAGCAAACACATTAAATTCAGAACTAGCCTGTTAAATCTGTGACGCTGGAAGCAGTAAAATCCTAGTAGATCCATGAATATCTAGCTCTTTTTGAGTATTCAGGCTGTTTCATATACTGTTTCATATACATTATTATAGTAAACATTTTAACAAATTAGATGTGGAATAGATTAAGTTAATTATCCCAAATACTGCAGTTGGAAATCTGAGGTTCAAAGATGGAGGATTTTTAAAGACCATGCAGTGAGTTCATATTTAAGGTGACATTTAAATTGGAAGATTCAGTTCGTGGTTATTACATCATGGGCTTTCTTTGAGTCCATTTATTATGTAGTAGACTAAGCAACTCTTGAAAAGCACTCACTGAAGAAAAAAAGCAGGCCACTTGCTTATTTTAACCACAGAAAAGTATCTAATAACCATGATGTAACAATGAGTGCTTTTCTTCTCACTACCCTGACCATAATATTTAAAAATAGCCATTTATGAAAAGCAATCTTCCCAAGTCATTTTTGTAGAATTTTAACATATATTTAATCTCTGTAAACTATTCCCCATATACAGTATGTCAACAAGGCAGCAGATGAAAGCAATCCATTCCTAATGCCCACCCACTGCTATTTTGGGTACATGGATACTGCTAATTATCAAGAGATGAACTGAATTAAACTAAGGTAATATTCAGTGGATGGAAGACGTCCTGTGGGTAATGCTTAAAAACAAGTTCGAGCAAGATGAAGCTGATTTAAGCAATCTTAACAAAACTATTCATCTGCTGTCTTTTATCTTGACCAGATAAGCTGGTGTATCCTGTGTGAATGAAAGCAACAGAGGAGAGAATATTTTCATCTCACTGCAGTCCACCTTTCATACTGTTCTGAAGCGTCTTCCAAACTTCCAGAGCAAATAAAAGGCATAAGACGTTGTAGGTAATGGAGAGAATTCAAACTCAGGACTTTTCATTTCTATAGCTGTGTTAATCTGTTCATATTCCCTCTCAATAACAGTTCAACTACCACTGTTAAGATAATTACCTGATGGTTCACTCTGTATTTTTATTCCCCTGGAGTATCTCCCTCCACCCTTAGTGTGTATACAAATATCTGCTAACTGAGGCCACACTCCACACATCTGATGGACTGCAATCCACAAGAACTTATGCTGAATAAAGCTTGTTCGTTTTTAACAAGCCATTAGACTCTTGTTGATTTTGCTGTAATGGGCTAAAAGGTTTATCCAGCCCCTTAGAGGGAACTGAGCATGTTTTAATCCATGACAGCCTCCATTCTGAGACAAATTCTGTTCATTGAACTTTAGACAGTCATGTGCTAAACTGTGGATGTTATACATAAAAATACTGTACTGTATTTTCATACTCTGAATATTAATTGGAACATTTTAGATCATGTGAGCAGATGAATACCAACTTCCTAGCTAACAGAGATGTAGCCTGACAACTATGACCCTGAATTAGTCAGGCAATAAGGGTAAAGCTTACTTCAATAATCAAAATGAAGTTTAAACTATTAAAATAGCAAACAATTACAATGTATTAATACAAGTGCACATTAGGATCAATACAATAGCTTTCCTGCATCTTTTAATTATCCTCTTAGGAATCCTTAATTGAATTAAAATAAATGCACTCTAAAGCAGCTTCTACATACCAATCAATAAAAATACACTGGATTTTAAAGGCTATATGACTGGAAATAAGAGGATTCAAAGATTGCTTTTTGTCTTAAATTTCTTTACACCTTAGTTATCCATAGTCTAAAATAAATCCTTTGGGTTATTGGTAAAAAGCAGGATAAGAAGTGTGGACAAAACCCTTCACCCAATTACTAGAATAGTACAACATACTAATAAAAGTATTTATTTTACTTGATATAAAGAAGTTCTTGTCCAGTAAGACAATACTTCTTGCATGAGACAAAGCTGCAGAATGTATCTAATTTAAAAAAATCAAATAAATTAAGCACAGGTCAATCCTGAGATGACGGAAGTGGAGATTTTATGGCGAAAGACCTCTGCTTTCTAAGCCTGGCCTACTGCAACCAGGCCATGAAGTGGCAGGATATTGTTGACACCAAGTGGAAATGGAGTTGCATAGAAAAGGCTCATAACTGGGTCAGGCAGAGAGTAATGTGTGGGGCTTTGGATCCTTCAAATCAAAGTAGACTTCCATGAGCCCCTTGTTGCTGTGATTAAACTGCAGGACTGCAACTAAAACTCTGCTCATGACCAAGGTTCAATCGCAGGTAGCCAGCTCAACACTGACTCAGCCATCCAACCTTCTGAGGTCGGTAAATTGAGTATTCAGCTCACAGGAGTGGGGGGGGGGAGAGAATTATAGCTTGCATAATTAAATTGTAAGCTGTCCAGAGAATGCTTTAAGTGCTGTGGGGCGGTATATAAGCAGCACACTTTGTGTTTGCTTTTTCCAGCAAGACAGTTCTGAACCCTGCTATTGGAGGGACCACTATCAACCATGCATCTACATGAGCACAGTTTTCCACAAATGCCCCACAGAGCCTCTCGTGTGGACATATCATTCTGCTGGAGGAACTCCGCTCTGCTAGTGAGGTGGCAACATTGCTCCATCCAATGCTGCCAGCTGACCTTCAGTCAACATTAGAAAAGGCTCTATGATTAATTATGCTTCTTACATGTTAGCAAGGAAGTTATTAAAATTTCATATTTTTCAGTGACTTTCCTTGAAAACAGAGTAGAAAAGAGGGGCTATCTATCAATGCTAGTGGATCTATAAAAGTTCCCTATTCCTCAGAGTCAGCAAATGAAAACTAATATTAAAAAACCATTTCTACCTTATCAGCAATATCAACTCTAGCTTTATGATGGAGAAGGAAGTCCACAGCAGATATATGATTTCCAGCAACAGCAAAATGGAGAGCTGTGCGCTTCAGCTAAAAAGAGAGAGAAGAAAACAGGAGATAAAAAGATCAGTCCAGAATATTGCTCACATGTTTTAAACTTCTAATCAGTACTTAAAATCTAAGAGATATTGAAATTAGTACTAAAAGTAAAACGGAAATATATATAGTTCGAGATTTCATCTTGCCCCTCTTTAGCACTGGCTAAAGACCATTTAATTTTGCTTGTCATTTAAAAAAAAGCAATATCACCCTCTCATAAGAAGAAACAAATGATATTACCTATATAAATAATATACTTAATAGGCTTAATCAAATTAGTAAATATTTACAGACAGGAGTCTATGGCTACTGTAGAGAAGTGCAGTATTTGTTCATAAGGAAGCTAAGAAACTATGCAGATAAAGTTAATTCTATATATTTTAAACTCCAATGCTGATGCACAGATGGGAAATGTATCTATTCCCATATTATTAAGCTGTACACTGTAATATCAGTCAAAGTGCTATGATGTTACTATTCCCCCAACAACTTACAAGACTCAGTTTATTTATTTGTTGATGCGGTTATTCTATTAACTGATAAGCAGTATATATTTAAAGTTTTATCTAACTGAATGCTTCTCCTATTTATAAATAATGAATCCAAGGAAAGCATTAGATACAATTAATTATTTATTTAAAAATTGTAATACGCTATAGATACCCTTTCCCCAAAAATAAGACCTAACCTGAAAATAAGCCCTAGTATGATTTTTCACGATGCTCATAATGTAAGCGCTCCCCCCAAAATAAGCCCTGGTTAAGTGAAAGCCCGCCCTCCACCATTGTGCAGCAACCAGAAAAAGATGACATGACTGTATTTGAATAAATGTAGATTGTTGCACATGAAAAAAATAAAACATCCCCTGAAAATAAGCCCTACTGTGGTTTTTGGAGCAAAAATTAATATAAGACCCTGTCTTATTTTCGGGGAAACACAGTAATGTTAAAACAACTCTTATGTTTATCAAAAGTAAAATATTTATTTATTTATTCATTCATTCATTCATTTATTTATATTTATTTATAGCAGTTGCTACTACTGCTGGTGCTGCTACTACTACTAAATTATTAACATATGTTCCTCTGACTCATGAGGATATTCTACTGACCTCACAGATATTGCCATTGCTCTCAGCATCAGATGACCAAGACAGATGCCTCCATCTGCCTGTGTAGCCATTAAGAACAATTGTCCAATGGTAGCCAATTCACAATCGTTTACAAAAGCTATTAATGTTGCCTACCACTGATCTTCTGATTTATACAACTTGTTCCTAACAAAATGTTCCTGCCTTTCCTATACTACCACAACTTATGTAATGGAAAATAAATTCTGATATTCTCCCTAAAATTGGTCATTTCTAATTCAGTAATTTTATGCTGCTATCGCCTGTCAAATTATGATTGCTGTCACTCAAGTGAGCAGGAAAATGTTGGTAGATCTCAGTGTTCTCTCAGTTCTTTTTGAATGTTACCATTTTTATTTCAGGCATTTGAATTTTGCTTTTACTAGACATTATTGTGCTATAATATATATATTATTGGGTTCCAACACCCATTAATCCCAGCCAGTATAACCAACCTGTTCAATGTGTACAAAGAACATATCATACGGAATGCCAAACTAGATTCAGATGAAGCAGGTGTGAAGATTGGTGGAAGAAACAGAAATAATTTAAGATATGCAGAAGATACCATCTTGCTGGGAGAAAGCAGAAATGACTTGAAGCAACTTTTAGGGAAAATGAAAGAAGAACGTGTCAAAGCGGGACTGTATTTAAATGTTGAGAAGACTAAAATAATGTTAAAATGTTTCATTGGAGACCAAGGCAAAGATAATCCACACTCTTGCATTTCTGATCAGCATGTATGGGTGTGAAAGCTGGACAGTAAAGAAAGCTGATGGGAATTTTTTGTTTGTTTGTTTTAAATGTGTTGCAGAAGGAGAGCTTCGTGGATACCCCGGACTGCCAGAAAGATGAACAAGTGGGTCCTAGATCAAATCAAGCCTGAATTATCTTTGGAGGCAAAAATGCTTGAAACTGGGGCTGTCATATTTTGGGCACATCATGATTGTCTAGAAAAGATAATAATGTGGGAAAGGCAGAAAACAGCAAGAAAAGCAGACCAAATAAGAGGTGGACTGACTTCCTAAAGGAAGCCACAGGCTTGGGTTTACAAAAGCTGAGCAGACGAGTTGAAGACAGGACATTTTGGAGACGGTTCATTCATAGGGTCACCATAAGTCACAGGTGACTTGATGGCACATAAAGATAACAACAGTTTAGTGGAGAGAAGAATGATGGAAACTGCAGCCCATGTAAAGAAACAATTGACAAATGCATTTCTCCTATAGAAAGTAGAACTGAATCATTAGCAAACAATCACCTATATTTTCGGAAGATGAACAGAGAGGTGAGAGCCAGAGATACAGCAAGTCATATGGTATGGTACAGTATGGTTTGGTGTATCTGGCTGGAGATACAGTACATATTAGTGAAGCAGCATTAATAGGAATGCACAGTATATACAGCTGTGGCTTTAAGACACTTTAAAGATATTCTTGAAATGTTCCTGTCCTGTATATTAATTAATATTTTACAACAAGAGCCTTGAATGATGGGAGAACACCTACCACTCTGAATTTAGTCAAATAAAAGTTTAATATGTTCTCAAAGACAAATAAAGAAAAGTTATTTGTTTTAGGAATTTTATCCAGGCAGTGGATTGGTTTTTTCATACTCACAGTATCTACAGCATTAATATTAACATTTTTCCTGAACAGTCTTTCCATAGTGTCCAGATTATTAGTTTTAGCAGCATGATGAAATTCTTTTTCATCCGGTAGCACTGCAAAAATATAAAAATAAAATTGAAAATGGAAAAAAATTGACTCCGTGATGTTACTGAAAAGGACACAGCATGTTTAGCTGTATTTACTACATTTATATCCAAGGAACACATAATGGTATTCATGATGCTCCTAGTTTTTATCACAAAGATCCTGTGCGATAAGCGAAGGTGAGGAAGAGTGAGTGGCTCAAGGACATCTGGTGAAAATTGTGCTTGTTACAGGATATGAACTCATGTCCCTCTGATCCTACTTCCACAAGGCAACTATTACAGTGCACTCTCAAAGAGAACAAACCTATCCATTTTGAAGGAAATCAACCCTGAGTGCTCACTGGAAGGACAGATCCTGAAGCTGAGGCTCCAATACTTTGGCCAGCTGATAAGAAGAGAAGACTCCCTGGAAAAGACCCTCATGTTGGGAAAGGGTGAAAGGGAGAAGGGAATGACAGAGGATGGGATGGTTGGACAGTGTCACCGAAGCTACCAACATGAATTTGACCCATCTCCATGAGTCAGTTGAAGACAGGAGGGCCTGGCATGCTCTGGTCCACGGGGTCACAAAGAGTCGGACAAGACTTAATAACTGAACAACAACTACAGTTTAGCTGTGTATCAGTATTATTTCATCTTATTCCATTTGCTCATCTTTCAGTCTAACAATATGGTCCTATAGGTTATCAGGATTAAATATTGAATATTTGTTAAGGGAGCAATCTAAACTCCCAGAAAAGGCAGATGAAGAGCTTTTGAATGCTATAAACCTCATTCTCTGCAAGGAAAGAGGGAGGCTCAGAAAAACTGCCCCCGTCTTCCACCTGGTTAGCAAAAGCGAGAGAGACTTAGGAAGTGGCAATTTCTGCTAGTGAATTTATGACTTCTGGCACTTTTATGATTGCTCTGTTAACAGATAATAAATATGAGAAAGAGTAATTTATAATCAGTCAAATTGAGGAGTCATATACTTTATTGGAACTATTTAATTTGACTATGGCAGAAGAGCATCTCACACAGAGAGGTATATAACTCTTTTTTAAAAGATTTATTTTTTATAACACATAAAACATATTTCCATTGTCATTCGTCATGTTCACTGGGTATACATCAAATTGTTCATTTCATATCTCATTTGTCCTTATACCTTATTTCTTTGCTCTAGCCACTCATACATTTTATTCCAGTTTTGATAATATTCCAAATTCTCTTTCCCTTTGTCATTGTCAATCTATTAATCTCTGCACAATCTAAGATTTTTTGTACAATTATTCCTTCTAAAGGAGATCTCATTTTTCCAGTATTGAGCCCATACTATTCTAGCTGCCATCAATATATGTAATATAATAACTCTGTCTTGTTTGTTAATATTCTCTGGCATAATTCCAATTAAAAACAACTCTGGTTTGAGTTCTATATTCAGTTTCGTTATTTTTTTATCCAAGAGTATATTTTAACTATCCAAGAGTGTATTTTAACCTTTTTTTTCTTTTCTTTTTTTTTTGCTTTTTCACAAGTCCACCATACATGATAATATGTTTCCTCATGTTTTTTACATTTCCAACACCTATCGGAAACCTTTAGGAACATTTTTGCTATTCTAGTCAGTGGTAAACGCCATCTGTAAAACATTTTGTATAAACGTTCTTTATATGCAGTTGCTAAGGTTAATTTACAATTATCACTCCATAACTTTTGCCACTTTTCTAGCTGAATTGTGTGACCAAAGTTTTTAGCCCAATGTATCATTGCTTCCTTCACTTGTTCATCTTCCATTTTCACTTCTAAGAGGAATTTAAAAATATTCTTAATTAGCTTATCTTCTGTAGAGACTAATATTTTATCAAATTGTGGCTGTTCCTTGTAGAAACCTTGTGTTCTAGAGTCCTCTTTATATACTGATTGAATTTGCAATAAAGGTAACCATGACAGTATCAGTCCTTGGCTTGCTAGTTCTTCCTTGGTTTTGAGATTTCATTATGGATTTAGTATTTCATTATATAGCACTATTTTCTCAAAGTTGGTAAGACTGGGATAAGCAGAGGTATATAACTCTTTATGACCGTATGAAGCAGACTGCTACAAGAGATCTGAGAACAAAACAAGATTAATGTTATCCATATCACAGGGATTGACTTTATTTAGGAAAAAGGCTCCATCACATTCATTTGACATGTTTTTCATCCCTTCAAGGAGGGAAAGAAATTTTCTTGTGGTCCATTCATATCTCTGTGCATTAATACTGTGTGCAAGGACAGTAAACAAAGGGACTTCATATCCTTTCCTCCATTGCTTGGCTAGAATGAACCAGACAGACTGGTACTTCAGCATTTTTCCTCTCAGCTACTATAACTCTAAGAACAAACTTTGGCCTAAGTTCCCGATTTTTAGTTTCCTGTCTCCTGTTCGAAAATGTAAGATGACAGGCATAGCATGTAGGCACAAAAAGTACTGTACTTTAAAATCCTCTAAGTCAGCACTAGTTTTCCTCTCGCTCTCCAGATGTTATTAGCTTCCAACTTCCATTAACCCTAGCCAGCAAGGCCAATAATCAAGACTGAAAAGAAACATAGTCCAACCACATCTGGAGACCTTGAGTTTGGCACTTTTGATCTAAGGAATAGTTTATACTTGATTTAAAATCACTGAAGAAGCACATGAGAAAGATGTGTCCACCATTCCTAGAATGGACAGAAAATACTTAAATATCCCAGAAACTGTGGGTTGGATTCAGAGACTATTGGACAGGCCATATATTACAGACCATCTGTTTCTGGAAGAACAAATCCTTCAAGTGTTCGTTGTGTATGATTGTTACCACATGAGATTTCTCAACTCCCTAATTCATAAATTGGTTTGCTCTGCTTTGTGACTGGTTTTTAGACTACAGCATGTTTTTTCCTAAGTATCATTTCTCAAATAGGGAAAACTGCCTCAGTCACATCCTTTGAACACAAACTTGATTGAAGCTCTAATGATAGCTTATCTGTAATGCTCAGTCTAGCCCTCAGGTATGCTTGAGTCAGGGAGCCAACTCAGGTGTCACTGGATGTCAACAAGACTGAGTTGGGAAACAAACCAATAGGTTTAAAGAATAATTTCCCCACTGCTACAGGGAATTTTTTTATTTTGAAGGTACAGCTGTATCCCACGACAATGTCCATTACATTATGTTAAAAAAAAAAACCTCTTGACTAAAGTTACACTTAGGATTTTGTCACTCATTATAAACTTCCTATTTCACTCCCTCGTCCCAGGTTCCAAGGCTCCCTTGGCATTCCTGAATATTTGTTCTGTATTCTTTTAAATTGTTTTTCAAAAATATTTTCAATATCTGTATGTTAAAAAATATTTTTGTGCATGTGTCTGTTTCTACAACCAGGCACAAGCAAACATGATTCTGATGAGACTGTTTGACCAAGAAGGAGTTAAAGTTACACTTAGGATTTTGTCACTCATTATAAACTTCCTATTTCACTCCCTCGTCCCAGGTTCCAAGGCTCCCTTGGCATTCCTTTTGACCAGGAGAAGAGTTTGGGAGCCAGGCGGTGGGACAAGCTTTTAATGTCTGAGATCAGGACTATTGGAAACAATTTTCAGGCGTTAGTCTCTTCCATCCTTTGTCCCAAGGCTCCTAAAAGCTTTCCCAGGTCAAAGGGAGCCTCAGAACCTGGAGTGGGCTAGGGTAGCTGTTAAGTGAATTATTCACATTCTTTTGGTAGATTTCAGAAGAAACCTAGGGAGTACTAGAAGTCTCTTGAGAGACAGACAAATTAGCAAGAAGCAAAGTATTTGTGTTGGATACCCTTCATTTCAAAAAAACAGCCAGGTCCTGGAGGGAAGTACTGTATAAAAATATATATATAGTGGGTAGTGGCCATGACCACCCAAGAGGAATGGATGTTAAAACAGATTGTGTTACCGATATTTCTAATATTTTCTACTGTTTTAAAACATTCTTTCCACACAGCATGGATTCATTTTCTGAAAAGTATGTTCATATCTCAGAGTATTTGTCATCTAAAAAAAGATGTTCTAGTGTCTTTCACTTATTTTCTTGTTGGGATAATGAATCGAAATAAAAAGAGAAATCTGTATATTTCTTGCCATTCAAAATAACTCCTTAAAGAAAACTAAATCATATTTGGAAAATTATACACAGTGGGAGGAACGTCTGCTGAGTTGACCTTCCAATACTGATATGAAAGGGTATCTAATTCCAGGAGTCTTTGAACTTTCCTATCACAAATATTACTAATTAAAGTTAATTTACAAACTATCTGAAAGTGTGCATCATGATGAACTAGAGGGGAGAGAGATTCTATCTGTGGTTTCCACCTCTGAAGTCTATGCGTTTGACATACGAAAAGTAAGACTGCCTGTTATTTCAAAGACGCAGCTGGTTAGAACTGTTTCCTTTTCTGTTCAAACTTAGGTGCAGAGGATGCCAAAAGTATTGCAACCCTGGAATGAATTAGGGGCCTATTTTCAGCCCTGTTTTCTCCTCAATGTGTTCAATTTCTCAAATTAAGTATTTAATTGAAATTATAAAAAAAAGAAACAAGGAGGAAATCCTGTACATAGGACATAGTTATGGACTAGACATATGCATTAACATAATTTATATCCAAAATATATTATTAAAGTTAGTGTCTGTAAGATACACAGTCTTCTCCAGTACAGGTATAGCAATAAGGCCCACTGACATCGGAAGATGATTGAATAGCTATCTTTCCAACATTCTAGAATATATTCTAGATGTGAGCCTTGCTCTTTAAACTACAGTACACTAAAAAGGCTTTCCTGAAGCAAAAGTGGTGGCCTAGTTTCTTCCTTACTTCCCACAGTCGCGAGGTATTCTTTCATACAAAATATGAGGTAAATACAGAGCAGAATGCAAAGCGTGAATGAGGGTAAAACGTTCTTGGTGGCCCCGAGCTCTTTTTTAGGAGCAGGGAAAACCCGATAGGGCAGAGAGGAAAAAGCTGGCAGGCAGCCTCGGAGAAAATGAATTGCTCCAATATCTGCTTCAAAAACTTCCCTGGGGCGAAGAGAATGTAAATAAAAATGAATATTTCTGTTTAAATAAAGGCACACAGGATACAAGTATGCTAATCATCAGTTAAATTCCAAATCATAGCAATAGTCAAAAACTTCATAAAGCTCTACAGATGTAAAGAACCAATTTTTACAAAATAAAATTCATCAGGTGCAATATCCAACCAAAAAAGGAGATGCCACTGAATAGCTCCACATCATATGCAAAAGTAAACAGTTCTATGTGCATATCACCAGCCGAGCAGACAGTTTCTTCATAAACAGAGGCAGTGATCTGGACACACCAATTTTTTCTGCAACTCTTTTTCAATGTTTCCAATTAATGCATTGGGGGCAATTATGTAACATATGCATCTGTTTTGTCACTAAACATATGGAGCAGCTTTGTAAATAAGTTATTATATACAGTATACAATATTAGCCCACTGGCAGAGCAGGGATAGAAAACATCCCTCCAGCTGCAACTTGTTGAATTTCTGTGCTGAGAACAAAGTAGAGGGTTTACTTCTACAGTACTAGGACTCCACTTAGCCCTCTGCTGCTTGCAGAGAAAGGGTGGAGTGCTTTGCCACTTTCTCATGAGGCTTCTCACCTGCCTGCAGTCCATTCCTTGGCACCTACAGATATGAAGCTAGTGCTTAAATCAGTGGTGGAAACATACCTATGGCTCTCCAGATGTTTTTGGACTACAGCTCCCATTATCTTTCATAATTGGTCCTGTGGATTAGAGCTGGTGGCAGCTGCCCTGCCTTAAATAATAAATTGGCATAATAAGAATTTTAATTTTGTTTCCATTGGAGGTGGTGGGAAATCTATTTTAGTGCATTATTCCAGTAAGTACTTTGTACAGTATAAGGCTGATAATCTGCTCTTTACAACCACATGTAATTCCTCTTGATCTACTGTAGCTTCTAGAGTTAGAGATTCCTGCAGCACTTAGGGCACATTTTAATGTCCTCTGTTCTCACCATTCTAGAACATATTCTAGATGTGAGCCTTGCTCTTTAAACTACAGTACACTAAAAAGGCTTTCCTGAAGCAAAAGTGGTGGCCTAGTTTCTTCCTTACTTCCCACAGTCGCGAGGTATTCTTTCATACAAAATATGAGGTAAATGCAGAGCAGAATGCAAAGTGTGAATGAGGGTAAAACGTTCTTGGTGGCCCCGAGCTCTTTTTTAGGAGCAGGGAAAACCCGATAGGGCAGAGAGGAAAAAGCTGGCAGGCAGCCTCGGAGAAAATGAATTGCTCCAATATCTGCTTCAAAAAATTCCCTGGGCGAAGAGAATGTAAATAAAAACGGAACAGCCTCTTCAGCTTCCCCAAGAGGTCTGGGAGCGCAGTTCGAGCACAAGGGGCCCGACGCCCAGGGAAGCCACGACCCGCTCCTGCGCTCCCTCAAGCGCAGTCCCTTTCCCGCCTTTTACGAGGAAGCGTCCCCCCCCTCTCCCTCGCCAGGGACGGGCAACCTCGCCTCTGCCGCAGCTGCGGCTCCGCGTTCCGCTTCCGACCTGGGCCGCTGCCCTCTCCTCCCACCGCCAGGGGCCGCTTTTCCCGAGACCGCTTCGCGAACGCTCACACGTCTCCGCGTTGGCCGCCTCCGCCGCGGCCGCTGCCTGAGGACTGCCGTCTTCTTTGGGGCTCCGGTTCAGGGAGCCCATGAACCCCGTCAGCCCTTTGATGGCGCGGCTCCAGGTTTCTTCCATCCCGCTGCCTGTGGAGGACAACGCGCGAGTAAGAGGGAGGCGGCGCTTTCCAGAGGCGACTCCTCGCCTCCAAACAAACCGCGGAGAGACCCGCCCTGCCTGCAGTGCGAGCGTATGGTTTAAGTCGCTCCTCCAGCTAGATAAGATAATGTGTAGTTTGGCGCAGAAGGAACTGGCAGAAACTAGTTAGTAAAAAAGGAAAGATCTGGCGTTAAAAACCCGTCGTGTATGAATGGGACATCTGGCGCTCCAGGGCCATCAGCCAGTCTTTGCAGGATTGTCACGGAAATAAAAGATGAAGGAAAAGTGAAATTATCTGAACACTTCCAGATCCATGTTGGGGAAAGAGGTTTGGGTTTGCCCTGAAGACAAATGCTGTCTAAGATGAAAGGCAAAAGTTTGTCTGTGGACTACCCCAGGTAAAACCTAAAACCACAGCATAATCCCATTTATGGTGTGCACAGGTGTAATTTCCCTCCTCCCTTAACATCTCTAAATACACACCATGACTGTAAGGTATTAAAATCAAATCATTTTCTTCTCTGTTCTTCCTGTTTAACATCTTGGCTGGGAAAGAGACCAGTGGTCTTAAGAACTTTCCTGTCTTTTCTGGGTTGTTTTGATTGACCTAATAAGTTTATAAACCCCACTATGAATTTGAGGATATCTTTGGGGGTGAAAACAGCTGCCCTTGCTGTGTGGAGTGAGACAGGGCAAATCCCACTAAAACCAAAAGTTTCCAGGGCTGCAGTGCAGAAGATCAGTAAAATCTAGTTCTGGAAAAAGTAATGGAAGACAGTTCAGAACATTGAAGAGATATAAATTGGCAGTTTATTTTACTTTAGTATTAAAATAGGCTCCTGGTCATGAGTCAGGTGATGTATCCATTGGAGGAGGCAGTCCTTGGCTGACTACAGGTTTCCTGCTGGGATTATAGTTTATTAAATTCATCACATCCCTTGTTTATTTCATTAAATCTGTCAAGCACTCATGGTAGTTTTGACTTTAGATTCTAAACAATATACAGTACACACAATCATCTGAGACAGGGATCTTTTGTGACCAATCAGCTCTTTGCAATGAACCTCTCAACCTTAATATCTGCCCTCTGCTGTACTGAATGTTGTCGATTAGAAACACCACCCATATGTTCCTCTCATTAAATGATGGATTGGAATCTATGTTTTTACCCTGGAAACCTTTTGTTCAAGACACTGTCGTGGCACTCTTGCATGATAACTGTTACGATGAAACGCTGGAAGTTACTTTCTAAATTATATCTTGCAAAATCCTCCAGCCAACATCGATACTACCTTTGTTTGCTGCAAATTTCTGGGAGAACATGTGCCCAGGATCATGTTTTTCTCTTCCTCCTTGCCAGTCTCTTTTTTTACTTTGGTGTGCTGCCTTTTAGAATCTAGCGACTACCCTTCTATTGATCTTCATAAATCATTTTGGGATCCATTTTGCACTGAATGTTGGGGTAAAATACTTTAATCATTAGTACTATGAGGCAGACTCAAATGCAAGATTGGATGACTTCATTATTAAGAGCTAAGCCTTTTTCCAGTTTGCATCAGTGCTATTTTTACACCCTCTAGATAAACACTGAAAATAAATGACTCAATGTGAAAGCAAATATGGATGAGAATATGTAACATATTGAAGGTAAAAATGAAAGGTAAGATTGCTGGATGAATCTGTAAAGTCACTTTTCAATTTAAGGTATTAATATTTGCTGTCCTGGAAGAATTAGTTTATAGGATGCCAAAGGACAAAAAAAATAGTTACATGTAATTTCATCCAATTTTTATGTAACAAAAAATTGGTTGGCAAACAAAAGTACAGTAGCTGTCTTTTCTTAGATTTTAAGCGAGGAAATAAGAATGGGAAAATAACCCAAGGGGAAATGGTTGCTAGCCCTTTCTCTCCTAGCTTTCTCTCCTAGGTTTCACTTACTTCATTACATTTTCAAGGTGAAAAGTATTGTGTAATTTTATATGTACACTTGTATGATCTTTTGCCACCCTGAAAACTAAGGTCCTAGGATGTAAAAATTGTACTATGCACTTTATTCCAAATTAAAAGATGGAATAAAGTGCATAATACTGTACAATTTTTACATCCGGAGACCATAGGCTCTTCTAGACTGATAGCTTTGGTGGATGTACCAGTTCCTTTTCATTATTGTTACTGTAAAAACTAACACATTTTATTTGCCGTAAGTTATTGTATACTGTCGCTCACTTACTGTTCCAAGATTATAAAGAGAAAGAGAGTATGTCCATGGGCAGGTTACTTATTGAGGCAGAAGGCAAAGTAGGAGAGAAGAGCAGGGAGGTTAATAGAAAGCAAGGCAGAGGAGAAAGAAATAAAGGAAGATGTAAAGGAGAAGAGGAACTCAGAGACCGTGGAGAGCTAAGCTGTTCTAAGGGGATAGAGGCTGGGACAGTACGAGACACCCTTCTAGAAGGCTGGGAATGGTTCTGGAAATTAAACCTTTGGCAGCTGTTGATGTTTTCTGAAGGGGAAGCAGCCATATGGAGAGAACCTAGAACCCCTATAAAGCCCTCTTATTGCGGGAAAGACAAAAGAGGAGAAAGAGGCCATGGCACTGGGTGATATAGAACACTGGGGAGGTTCAAACATGGAGGCAATGGGAACTGAGCTGTTCACTGCAAGCGGTGGGTGGGGGTTTGATCTGTGGACAACATATAGACTCAAGAGGCAACATGAGTAGTGGGAGTCTGAGTCATTTGCCTGGGATGTCGGTGCTGTTGGTCCAGAGCTAAGAAGAGACCTGATGTCAAGTGGACAGGTGACTGAATAGTCCTAGTTTGTTGAATTCCTTCCTTTCCCCATTGGGAGAGGTGAAGCTATTACTGTGTCTTAACCACATGATAATAGAAAGAAAATATCCAGGTGCACTGAAAACGAAACCATGATTGCCTCCATCAAATATGCCTGCTGCTATGGTCAGCAGTGAGACAAGCTGGTGGTACATTCATGGAATGTGAAAGGGGCCCTACAAATGTATCAGTGGAGTCATGTAGAGCATTTTTTGTGTGTGAAAGGGTATCCTAACTGGCTCAGGATCTCTCTACATGTAGGGTCACTCTCATGCAGATCAAATACAAACACTAAAGCGGTAGGAGGTATAGCCAATGCAAATAGAAGGACTATCTTCCTTGCTTAAGTGTTGAACCTGTTGGGAGGGATTCTATTAGGGGAGTGGGGAGATCAATTATGTAAGGATATTAGACCTTGCCTTAAATAGTCATTCATTAATATTTTGCACAGAAATACTGTAGTAGTTAAGAGAATCAGGGAAATGGGTTCTAAGAACATGAATCTGAGGGAAAATTATAACCAATGCTGGGGCTCGATTATCTGAAACATCTATGCAATTAGCAGTATAAGCCCACAAAAAGTCACTGCAAACCTTTATAAGTCATTGAGCTTACAGAGAAGGGACAGGAAGGTCTAGCCCTCCTTTAGCAGACTACAGCACATGTATGCAGGGCACAGAACAGGGATGCATCCCTGCTTTAGCAGCCTATTTAGTTTCTCCACTTCACACAGAGCTGGAATAGAATACGTACTCCTTTCGAGATTTAACCCTTTTATTCTCACACATATAGTGAAAAGCCCATGTGTGCTTTTCACCATATGTGTGAGAAAGTCCATGGGCCAGCAAGTCACATGGGCTTTCTCACACATGGCGAAAGTCTCACACATGGCGAAAGTGATCAAGTCTCACACATGGCGAAAGCCTATATGCCAGCAAGTCAATTCTGATTTATGGAAATCTTTTCTAGGATTTTCTGAGAGTACTCAAAAGTGACCCACCACTCTTTCTTCTGGGAGCACCCTTTATTTTACTTTACTTTTACTTTATTTAGACTTATACCCCGCCCATCTAGACAAAGCTTGGCAGTGGTTACACAGGCTGGGTCTTCTTCCAGGAGGCACAGTGGAGAATCGGACTCCCAACCTCTAGCACTGCAGCCAGATTCCTAACGCACTGAACTATCTATCCAGCTTATCATCTACAATGGTTATATTGTTGCAAGGGGAATGCAAAGCTCTTATCTTTGCCCATAGATAATAATTTCAGAGTAGTTTTCAACCACAATAACTGAACTTATCCCACAAGATTAGGCTGTTAAGAGCATGGCACACACTGTCTATACAGACTCAATGAAGGTGAAATAAGTACGTATTTTAAAAATGATGTGATGTTTTAATAATATACAAATGTTTTACAAAATTTCCAACTATTTCATATTACTCTGAGTTTACAATTAAAGAAATTGAACTTTATAAAATTGTTTTAAATACCTATAATGAATATATTAAGAATAAAATTAATTTTAAAATGCAGAAGACATGATCTCTATATACACAAATAGATATAATATTTATAAACAATCTAAACCATGTGCATATCCCTTTAAAATGCAGTTGAGAAAATATCTTCATTTAAGAGCTAAGTGCAATTCATTCTATTACTATGAGATTATCTGAGTATTTGTATGGCTTTATTGCATGATACAGTTTCCTACTCTATTTTCTTCACGTTTGATCTATTGCACACAATCTGTTTAGTCACAATGCTCAATAGGTTTAATTCAGCAAGAAGTGAAGTCAGTTGTTCTGGGAGGGCAGAAATTGTTTTTCAACAACTGTACTGAAAATAGTTTTCTACAAAATCACACAGGCAATGTTTTCCAAGTGGCAAGCTCTTAAAAACATGAACAAGACCAAAATAGCTGTATTTTTATATTCAAATATAAAATAATCTCAGCTCACCTATATTTGATGCACACAACTATCAGACAGCTAATTTAACTGTTTTGTATTAATTCAGTCTAATCTGTATGGTAAAGGAAATTCTTGCCATGTGCAGAAAGATAGCAGATCTCCTGTTTAAATTAACAATTATTAAATTTTTGTCTACTGAGTTTGCGTGTGTGCATGACTGTGTATAGATCAGATTCAAAATGTTTGAATTTAGATGCTAAATGTGCAATCATAGTATATTTTCATTCAGCATAACAGCATATGAGTAAAGTCTAAAATCTTGGCCTTATTGCCCATGTCTTCAAAAGCTTGTATTTAATAACATCTGGTTTATCAGATACATCTGTTCATTACCAAGTGAAAGCCCACTTTTCTTTCATACATAAGATTAATGAAAATCATCAACACTAAAATACACTGAGAGCTGCTGACTTTTAAAGACATTATCATCCTTCATTATATCAGACTATCAAATATAATGTAAGGCAACAGTAACATGTCTGAGAGTGAACTATTAGTTTCAATAGTGCAAAATTATCTATAAGAGGTATACACAACGAATACAGCCTGAGCAATACATTTTCTATTCAAACACACTGCTGTCAAAATGCTCAAATTATCCTTAAAATATATTATATTCATTTGAAAAATGTTTCTATAGTACACTTCAAATTAGTTGATTTGGGTTTTTTGGATGTTGACTGGGGAGCCATTGTTGCAGACCTGAAATGGAAAAAAAAACATGTGACTAATAAAATTAAACAGCTATAGTAATAGAATGGTTGATTGTGCCACTCAAAAGCATTACTTAGCATACAAAGAGCTTACCGTTTTGATCCTACTGTGGAGTTTGCTTTATTTTGCCCTCTGTTGAAGGGTCCTGAAGAAAAATGTGGGATGTTTAGTATTTTAACTGAAAACTGGAATTTATTCCGCAGTAATTATGTCTAACAAGTGGGAACTAAAATACCTTAAATGAGGAACTCTATTGCTTTAATTTCCACTGTTCATTCCATCATTTCACCCTCTTCCAGCTAGCTTTTCCCCAAGCTTCTTCTCTACAACTTTTCAAATCACTTCTTAATTCACTGCCACTCTTTAAACTCATATAGGGAGCATCTGGCCCAGATATTGTTAGGCTTCCACTATCCTTCACCAACTATTCTGCCTAGGGTTCATCAGATCTGCAGTCCAGAAACACCTGAATGACCATAGAGAATCCATTCCTGTTTTATCATTCTTCTGATGGCTGGTGAAGGACTGAAGAACATACAGTGTTGAATGACAAAGATTAGATAACAAGAAACTTGGTTGGTGATTTTCAAGAACCTGTCTTCTGTCCTCACATTTCTCAAATAAATGACAAAGGAGGCAAATGGCTGTGATATAGCCCTAAAAATAATTTCAGGGACAAGAGGGGAATTCTGTCCATTTCATAAGTCCCTTGCCCACTGGGCCCAGGTCTCTGGAAGCAAAGCATTCTAAGGCATCTGAGCTGTCACAATCAGTTCTATCATGAAGGTCAGCTGAGCAGGCAGCAGAACAAGCACATTCAGAACACAAACAGAAATTCAGAACAAGCACATTCATACCCTCCCCAGTCTCCAATATATAAAATGAAGGAACTTTACATCTACACATTATTTAAGACAATGTTTATTGTAAATGGTTTATTTTTCATAAAACAAAATATTAGTTATTATTTAAAATTGTACACCAATCCCGTTAGTACCGAAGCATTACTCTGAGCAGCTGCATTACTATGGGCGAGTAGTCTTGTTGTAACTTAAAATCTAATAAGTTTTGTTTGACATTATTTATGAGTTACGCTCCATTTCATCAACATTGCATTTGAAATAAACTGCAATCCGCAAAACATGTTGAATCAAACTCGTTAGTCTTTAAGATGCCACAAGATTCTGCTGTTTTTGTTGCAACATACAATACTAAGATGACTACTGCCATGGAGATTTCTCTGTACTTTGAAAGACAGTTGAAATCTCTTTCTTTAATATACAAAATAAAAATCCTGAATAGTTATGCTGTATATCTTACATTTAAAAAACAACCTATAGTAAAAGTTTTTTTCACTACTACTTATCTACTTTCACATTTACAAAATTATTTTCTAAATAAATACTTTGTGTATTGTTGGATTATTTATTGTGCTCAGAGAGCTTTATATTGTTAAATATATTCTCTTCTATTTCCTATGTCAGTCTTCATGGTATAGTTGATACTCAGTGTATTAAAAAGATCATAAAATTAAATGTGATGTTCTAGTCAGGCTATATTTTCCAAGATAAACCAGTACTATTTTATTTATTGACAGCAGAATAAACGTACACATTAAGGATCCAGATAAGGCAAGAGGTCCTCGACCACAAACTTAAGTGTGGAACCTTCTGAGCATAAGAAAGTTCAAGTAGGGTTGTTTTGAGATAGCTAAAAGGAAGCATGCAAAGAACTACAGTGTTGCCCCACTTAATGACGACAATCCGTTCCGTTAAAATCGCTGTTAAGCGATATTGTCAAGCGAAAGAAAAAAACCCACTGAAATGCATTGAATGTGTTCCAATGGGCGAAATACTTCATCGTCCAGCGAAGATCCTCCATAGGGGAAACCATTTTTCGTTGTTGTCTTCCAGAAATAGGTCCGAAAAACAGCGGGCAGCCATTCTGAAACCCGACAATCAGCTGTTTTTGATCGTCGTAATGCCAAGAATCGGTTCCCGAAGCAGGGAACCGATTGTCATAGAATGGATTTCCCCCTTTGAATCATCATTTTGCGATTGCAATAGCGATTGCAAAAACCTCATCGTGAAGTGATTTCGTCGTGGAGCGAGGTAAACGTCAAGCGGGGCACCACTGTATACATGATTTGCTAATCTAGGAAATCTGCTTAGAGAGGAAGAATCAATCCTAGAACCTCGATATAATGTCATATTAATGTTCATATCCCAGTTCATTAACATTTGTGATTTTTTTTCTGGAAAAAAAATTAAGCCTGTTTCTTCATAAGATGGAAACACAAAAACTCCTTTGCTGAGGCCTCATATAGATCCACTCACTTTATGCACTTACAGTTCCAATTTATTTAAAAAATGCCTTTAAGAAAGTAACAACTATTTTAATAAAACTACTTACCTACAGTTTTTGAACCTTCTGTCAACTCTTTGATAATGCCTTTGTTTAAACAAACATCCACGTGCCTGTTAAATAATGCAAGGTCCTTTGTTTTTTGTTCTAAATTGCAAACAGGACAAACTAAAGTCTTGCTTTCAAAACTGTCAGAACATGATGAGTTGGTGTCTGTACAACTAGGCTCTTCAGTATATTCTCTTTCTTCTACTAATAAGGGTTTAGAAGAAAAATCCTGTTTTTCATGCATACCAAATACAAAATCACTAGAAATATTATGTCCATTTTTATTACTGTGTGCATCATCTTGCAGCTTAGGAACAATATCCATGCCACTATTCACATGATCAACTGCATAACCTGATTGCACTTCAATCCCTGGCTTGCTTGCATTATTTTGTTTACATTCTTTGTTCCCCCTCTCTACAGACTCTTCAGTTGCATTCTCCCATGGTATATTGATATTAGTCATTTTTCCATCATCTTTTTCTAATGTTCCAGCAAGGCACTTGTCAATATGCTGATTAAATGCCTCTAAAGTGCTACCCTGGTGTTCCTTAAAGCAAGCTGGACAAATGAAGGTCTGACATTCATTATCCTTTGCTTGCTCAACAAACATCACTGATGTTGTATCTTGTAGATTCAGCTTCTTTGAAGACTCATTTAAAGAAAGCCCTTGGCTGGCTTGCTGGCTTATAGCTCGCTTTTTATTGAAAAAACTTTCCGATGCTTTTGGAAGATTTTCATCAACAGATTTTCTGGAGAAGAACCTAGAAGCACTGGCTTGTTTTCCTGGCTCTAAGAAATTAACAATGCTCTTTTGTTGATATTTCTTTTCTTCTTCATTTAGAAAACCTGATACTCGTACACCTGTATATGACAAACAAGCCACATAAAGTTAAATAACAATATTTTAAAAAAAATCAAAACCAGCAAAAACAAGTTATTGAAACAGTAGACCTGTTAGTCTGTGCAAGCATATCAGACAATACACACACAGACCAAGAACAAACCACAACAAACCACAAACCCCAAACAACAAAAGCACTATGATACCTTAAAGACTAACTGCTATATTTTAATGGGAGCTGTTGTGGACCAAGTCCACTTCCTCAGACATAAAAACCCCCTATATGACTATCTTATTTATACATGGCCAGGTAAATACAGATAATGGACAAAGAGACACCAGTTAATTGGTAAATGATTAAGACTATCAGCCTGCGAACAATTTCAGTTATGAAAAGTAACAATAGTATTCTTGAAAGAAGTGAAATTTTATTGTATTTATATATGGCCACAAAGTACTGTGATTAAGAGGGACAAACAGCAAATAAATAATCTTCACTGAACATTTTTGTTGATTCTCCCTGCAGGATTTCAGTGGCATCTCTACATTCCCTTTACACACATTATAGTTCCCAGATGTAGATGCATATACCCTGTTTCCCTGAAAATAAGACCTAAACTGAAAATAAGTCCTAGTATGATTTTTCAGGACGCTCGTAATATAAGCCCTACCCCAAAAATAAGCCCTAGTTAAGTGAAACCCCGCCCTCCACCATTGTGCAGCAACTAGAAGAAGACATGACTGTATTTGAATAAATGTAGATGGTTGTACATGAAAAAAATTAAATATCCCCTGAAAATAAGCCCTAATGTGTTTTTTGGAGCAAAATTTACTATAAGAACCTGTATTCTTTTCAGGGAAACACGGTAACAGGTTGGTGTAATGGAAAATGGCATTCCTGTGTCCCTCCTCCACAAGTTCTACAGACAGTCAGGGGAATTTGGTGAATGGAGCAGGAAGGAATCATGGAAGGTGCTTCCACCTAGTTTGGATGGACTGATTCTTCCCTCTCAGCTCTCTGCTTGCCAGTTTATTGCACAGAATTGGGTCACCTGACATTTTCTATAGCATTTGGAGTGGAGGACACTGAGAGGAAGAGTACAGGTCTACTTTCAGCAAAGTTGCACATACTTAACTCTGGATCCAACCGATTGGGCAGGAATTGCTCATACCTAACAAGTCACTAAATCACCTGTAAAAACCTAAGTGACTGGAAATAAGGTGCAACTTTTTTTTGAAGAAAACAGCTCAGGATTTTTATATTTTAGTAAAAATATTCCATGAATTAATATTAAAACTATATTGATTATAAGAACTTTCCAGCACATGAATTTGCATTTAAAATTTTAAAAACAGAATAGAAACAAGTAAAAATATTCTATAACAGACCAGTATTTACCCATCAATCGTAGGCGTAAAGGCTGTGGGGCCACAGTCTCCATTTCCAATCTAAGCAAATCTTTAGCAACAGCAAATATTTCTTCTTCAGTGGAAACTGCAGATAGTATGGTAGTAGCTCTTGTCTTTACCTCAAAGTTTACATTCTTCAACTTTAAAGTTACAGTTCTAGCCTATTTAAAACAAATAACCCATTTATATAGCAGCGTTATCCAAAGTATCACAATAGAATATGATTCCATTATTTACGATATCTGCACACCTGCAAGCCACACAAAACATTATCCACAAAGTTATTATATTTTAAAACATTCTTTCATCTATTGTTACATAGTGATGGAAGAAGAAACAAATGAGGAAAAGTAGTCACAAGCTATTGCTACTTTACATAAAGTAGTGTATTGCGTTATGTTTATTGGCTCTTTCTTTTGTAGACTTTATTACTGTGAGCTACTTTTGACATTTTTAATGGAAAGGACAAATATAAATGTAGAAACTAAATAAGTGTAGGAAGTTTGGACTGTGGTGACTTGTTTTAATCAGCATGGGAAGAGGAAAAAGAGACAAGAAGATGAGGTAAAACAATAAGCATATTGTAGTAACATAGCAATTCATCTACTGTCATATTCTATTTATAGTTCAAGGTTTTCCTTTTAACTTAAAAATTGCTAAGCAGTTTGAGATCTTTGCATTACTATTTCTCATAAGCAATATGGTGCTAAAGAAGTAGTTTTGTTGCTGAACAAAGTTAAGTGATGGTATGAATTGAACTGAGGGAGAATCTTTGAGTCAGATGCACTGTAACAACACAACAATGTAACTACAAAGCTACCATACCACCTTTCTAAAAATATGTTGATGAACAGTTTGACTGTCAATAAGGAAAATTCCTAATGCATTGCTCTTATTCAGTCTTGCTGTGGCAGCAATGATTATGACACCATCCTGGACTGTCTTCACAAGTTGGATATTAGAGCTAGTTGAAAGAATCCCATTGGAAGTTTGCTTCAGAGTAAATGAAATCATGTTAGTCACTGCAACAAATTGCAGCTAATTAAAATGTTGCTGGTTGCATGGCACATGGGACTAGCATCATCAATTAGCTGCAATTCATTGCTGCAGAGTACACAATTTCATTTATTCCTGAGGAAAATTCTCAAAGGATTCTGACAGCTGTCTTGCAGTAGCCCAATTACTGTTAGGTCCCTAGTGTTATTTAACATATATATGAAGGCACTAGACAATTTGGGACATGGTGTAACCCGTACATAGATGACATCAGCTCTATTTCTCTGTTACTTCTGAATCAGTATGTGCTGAAATTATGTCTAGATGAAGTGGTGGCCTGAATTCGTTCGTTTAGTCGTTTAGTCGTGTCCGACTCTTCGTGACCCCATGGACCAGAGCACGCCAGGCCCCCCTGTCTTCCACTGCCTCCCGGAGTTGGGCCAGATTCATGCTGGTTGCTTCGGTGACACTGTCCAGCCATCTCATCCTTGGTCGTCCCCTTCTCCTCTTGCCCTCACACTTTCCCGACATCAAGGTCTTTTCCAGGGAGTCCTCTCTTCTCATGAGATGGTCAAAGTACTGGAGCCTCAGCTTCAGGATCTGTCCTTCCAGGGAGCACTCAGGGTTGATTTCCTTTAGAATTGATAGGTTTGTTCTCCTTGCAGTCCAGGGGACTCTCAAGAGCCTCCTCCAGCACAATTCAAAGGCATCAATTCTTCGGCGGTCAGCTTTCTTTATGGTCCAGCTCTCACTTCCATACATCACAACAGGAAAAACCATAGCTTTGACTATTCGGACTTTTGTTGGCAATGTGATGTCTCTGCTTTTTAAGATGCTGTCAAGATTTGTCATGGCCTGAATAAGGGATGTTAAGTTGAAAGTAATTCTTGGAAAGACAACTCTGTAACTGAGTAGCCCCCAGGTCTTAGTACAACTTACAAAACTACACAATGGAAATTCTGCTACTGATTTGAAAGTATATCCCACTGAGTTCAGTGAAACATATTGGCTAGAATCCTGTTGGCATACGTTGCACTGTGGAATTCTGCTGAAATCATCAATTGCAGCCATGATGTGGCTGCCTTGGGAAAATTAAAAGTTTTCCATTCCCCTCCCCACCAGATACCAGGGTTCCTAGGGATCCCCTTCATCCTAGGAAGCCCTTGGAAGCAAAAGTATTTTGGCTATTACGTCAGTAATCTGTAAATGATAGCAGCTTCAGAGCCAGCATTATGAGATCTGTTCAGGCATTAATTACTTGTACTTACTCACCATGCACAGAGGACAGCATTCTAGCTCCATCCCACCATCCTTTCTGTTTCCCTCAAGCCCCAGTGCCCAAAACAATTTTCATGTGAGTCAGAACATTGAAAAATCAGTCCTGGTTCATAAAGAGAGCTGCTGTGGTTCTGAAAACAGAGTGCTCCCTCTTCACAGACTTTTCACTCTCTACATGAAGGAAGGTAATGAAATTCAGGAAAGAGAGGGTCAGGGCAACAGCACTCTTGTCTATACAAAGTGAGTACAGATAAAAAAATAATGCTTGAATAGCTGGCTGGAGAGCTCAGTGAGTTTGGTAACTGGTGGCAGAGGCTGGGAGTTAAGTTTCCCACTCAGCATCCCAGAAGAACCATCCTGTGTGGCCTTGGGCAAGCTGCAAAGTCCCAGGATGCCCACAGAAGAAAGGAATAGTAAACCACTTGTGAGTACTCTTTACCCAGAAAACTCTGAAAACAGTCATCATAATTCAGAATTGAAAAAGAAAAAAACTGCATGGTCTTAACAACAAGCCTTGAACTGTGATCAACTTATATAAAACACCAACTTCCTCTTTAAAGAGCTGCAGGAGCATCAATGTACACTGAAGAGATCATGCTTGTGTGCCCTTGGTTGAATACTAACAGTGAACCAAAAGCAAGATTTCTCCATCAGAGCACTTGTGATTTGTAAGATTGTTAAACAGGAAGCATGACTGGTCATGTGTTTTAGATGCTTACTGAAAACTTACTAGTTTGCTCACACTCCTTCTAGTTTCCCTTAGATATCTCATCTGCATTGTATTCTTTTTATTCATTGTATTATGTTTATTGCTTGAAGGTGTTTTATTTTATTGTTATATACTACTTATACATTGTCTTTGAAAGGTGCAGTATGTCAAAGGATACAGAAGGCCTAAGTGCTTATAATATTAAAAATACTACATTTCATGTCAGAACTACCTACTTTCAGTCCTTCCTTTTTCAAATCCTGAGCAAGGTCACTGCACAGTTCTTTACACAATGTGTACTGTTCCGTTGCACTTATTTCATTAAATGTCCTATATGCCAAAAAGAAATCAACAAAATTGTTGTTGCAGTAAATTATAATACATCTTCCTCAAACATCATAAAGCTAAATTTTTTTTGCATTAACATTTTCATAATAAAATATAGATCAGAAATTTAAGCTATGCAGGAAAAATCTGTAAAAACTAAGTTACAATTTTATTGCAGTGGTGCCTCGCATTACGATGTTAATTCGTTCCAGTGAAATCGCTGTAGAACGAAAGTGTCATAATGCGAAATAAAAAAGCCCACAGAAACACATTAAAACCCGATCCGTCCAGTGAAGATCCTCCATAGCGCGGCCATTTTTGCTACCTGTGCAGCGAGGAATCTGTCCCAAAAAAGAGCGGGGAGCCATTTTTTTTCTACCTGGCGGCCATTTTGAAACCGCCGATCAGCTGGCCGAAAATCGTCATTTTGTGAGAATTGGTTCCCGAAGCAGGGAACCGATCATCGCAAAGCGAAAAAAACCATTTAAAACATAGTAAAACATCAAAAAACATCAAAACATCAAAAAGTTAGTTGTGATGTGATTTCGTTGTTAAATGGGGGCGCTCATCTTGCAAGGCACCACTGTATACAAGCTTTCATAGTGTTGGTTCCACAATATGCCACATTAATGGACTTCTCCTTGGAGAAAGGTTTCGAACTGTTGGACTGTAATGTTTCGAACTCATTTCAGAAACCAGAAGTTAACCCCTTCCTCACAACGTTGTGTGAGGAAGAGAAGTTACGTATTCCTGTCACTGTTGAAAGTTCCCTAGATGCACCTATAATAAATCCTGTTCGTACAATCCATGGTCAAGAGTCATGTGTTGCCGGGCTAGATGTAGAAGTAAAGGGAAAACCCCCTTCTCAAGGTAATGAACTCTTATAGCATGTCAGAGGGAAGAAAGGATCACATAAAAATGTGTACTGTGTTCTGCTGGATCCAAAGACTCCTGTGGATGGAGGACATATTTCCTTTCTCATGAAATACATTCTGGATGCAACTTAAAATGTATTAAGCTCTTTTATTTACTATGATTTCTTTTAACAGTCATGAGATTTTTTTCTTTTAATTGCTATTATCCTGGAAAATATGCCTAAATCTCCACAGCTAATGGCCCAATTATGCTAAAATGAGAATTTTTATTTTTAAAGAACTCAGAACTATTTTTCCTTAAGACACTTAAGCTAGTTCCTTATGGGAACATCAGTTATATCTACAATTTACAAAGCTAGTGGTAAGCAACTACTATAAACTTCTTACGGTCCACAGTGCATCTCACAAATTTATTTGATGCGCATATACCAGTGTTGTACTGTTTTCCCGTTTCCAATACCAGTAAAACCTTTTGCAATATCTTTATTTAAGCAAATTCAAGTAATAAGATGATTCACTTTGATACAGATGTGAATGCATACCTTTCAGTACTCATACTTTTTCTTTCTCCATCCCTTTAAAAAGAAAACAAAGTATGAACTTGTTTATTTATTGGATTTCTATCCCGCCCATCTAGACCAAAGGTCTACTCATATAGACAAGGACTGAGTAAAAAAAGAATTACATTTCAATAGTCTATACCCAATGAACAAAACCTTAATATTTATTAACTGTTTCAAAGACACAAAGCAAGAAATACAAAAGAAAGGAAATTTAATCACCACAAATGAATATTATATTAAAGAGATAAAAACACTAGTAACTCAAATTAACAAACATACTATCTTTGTGAAAATTTCTGTAAACTTACAAAATCTTTCAGAAGTCTTCACAAAGAGGTGAATCTGCTGGTACAAAAGCAACAAAATATTAAAGAGTAGCAAGTTTTATTTGACATGAGCTTTCCTGAACTCCAGCACACTTGGTTGTTGTAATGTAGGCTATTCGAGCTGTTTGGCCGTGTTCTGGAGGTTTTTCTTCCTAATGTTTCACCAGTCTCTGTGGCCGGCATCTTCAGAGGACAGGAGTTAGAATGCTGTGTTCTGGTGTAGTGTGTGGAATAGTTGAGTATTTGTAGCTGTGGGATCAGCTTTTTGTCCTTTTCAGGAAATTGGTGATTATGGTGATCAGGGTGTTTTTTATTATGGGTGTATTGTTGTGATAAGCGGGGAGATGATCTGTCACTGTGATTGATGGGTTTTGTTAGCTATTCTTTTGTGTGCAGTGATCACCAGTCCTTGTGGCTGGGTAGAATTTGTTGACCTTTTAGCAGGCTGCATTTTTCAGTGCTGGGAGCCAGGCTTTGTTGAGTTTTAGACTTTCAATCACACAAGGCAGAGGATAAAAATGTGCCAACTGAAGCTATAAATCATGCATCTGAACAAGAGGGCTGGAGTCCACAAAACCTTATGTCAAATAAAAGCTGTTACTCGTTAACTTGCCACAAAGTGCTTTATATGTTTTTAGATTCATTGTGCTCTTACAAGAGAACACATCTGACTGATTATTGGAACTTGAACAGTAAAACATTCTTTCTCTCTCTGTGTGTGTGTCAATTTCTGTATTTAATGACATTGGAAACAGAGATATCAATCTCTGCCTGAGCCTCTAGAATCCTGCTGACAGTAGGAATTAATGATACATCCTTGAAACATATGCTTGATGCAGCAGAGAGAAAACGTTTGTACCTTTTATACAAAATGTAACATGCTAATAAAACACACAGAAGTCCATAAAATTATTTTAACAGAAAATACCTCTCCAGATGTGTTGAACCCAAACCAAGAGAGATTTCCAAGAAATTGCGCCATGATGTTTCAGAGAAAAGAAGATAAATCAGTGCCCTCTGCTTGTAAAGATCTGTGCAAGTCACAATTCCCAAAGCTTTGAGCATTTTCTCTGTTACTTTTCCTATGCCGGGCACCTGAAGAAGAGTTAATGTACACCTGAAGGAGATTTAATATACCAAGCCTTGAAACAGAAAGCTAAATCCAGAATGAGGTCGGCAAATTTCTACCTGCACATCAAGAGTTTTCCCCCTCCCTCCTCTACCTTAAAGCCCTCTGAACTCACATATATATCTGCTCCAGAAGGCAACTTAATATTTGGAGCTCATGAGGGCTGCAGGGATCAGTGAATTTCACCTACTGACAATATCTACTAACAATATCCACTGGCAGAAAAACCTCACTGGATGAAACTCAGGGAATATCTTGTAAAACAAGAGAAGTATACTTTCGATAGTAAGTACACTTACCAAGAGTGTACTTGGACACGACTTAACGACTAAACAACAACACTTACCAATCTCATTTACACCTCCAAATTTACCGTGTTTAAGGTTTTGAAGTAAAAAAGCATTATACAAATGCCTTCACTATTGGAGCACGCATCACCTTCCGAAGTAACTGGTTCCGTTGTCATACTACTTAGGAAGTTTTTCCTGATATTCAACCGAAACCTGGCTTTCTGTAACTTGAGCCCATAATTATATATCCTGCAGTCTGGGATGATCGTCACAGAGAGGAGGGGCAGGATGTGTTCTCAAGCTTTCAAATATGTGAAATTAGGTATTTTGGTTTTTTATTACTTTACTCTTTGTATGTTTGCTTAAGTATGTAAACTGCTCCAAGTAGCGTTTTACTAAGTCAGGTGGTCTAAAAGCCCGTCCAGCCAGAACCAACCAACCAACCAAACTGCTATCATACTTCCCCCTCACTCTTCTTTCCACAGTGCTAAACATGTCCACTTTGTTTGGTGTTTCCTCATAGGGCTTGTTTCCAGTCCCTATATCATTCATTCTGCTCTTATCTGAACTTGTTCCAGTTTGTTGACATCATTCTTAAAATGTCGTGTCCAAAACTGGAAACTAGTTGGACCTCAGGATGAGGCTTAACAGAGCTCAATGGGTGGGAACCAGTATTTCATAGGATTTGAAAACTATACTTCTTTTAATGAAGCCTAAAATAACATTTGCAACCATTTAACATTTTCGGCTCATATTGGGATCTACAACAACTCTAAGATCCTTTTTGCATGTAGTGTTACTGAACAAATTATTATTATCAAGCTGGAAGTTACTTTGATTAGTGCACTATAAGAATCCAAATCTGGTAGTATATTAGGCAAACAAAAGAAAAACTAAGAGACAAAAATGTTATGACACTTGGGTTTTTTGTTTTGTTTTTTTCTTGCACAGACTAACATGGCTATTTATTAGAAAACTATAAATTTGATAGCATTACCTTAAGGAAGACAAAATTCTCCTACAAAGTTCTGCCATTGCTAGAACACTTTCTGGCATGTACTATTAAATGTATTTACAGCACTGACATTTTGGATCTTGTCCCCTAAGGTACCAACACAGCTACCACCAATATTTGTTTTATTCTCCATTCCTCCCATTTTTACAGCATCTATTAGGAAAACTCTAAAAAAAAATTCTTGAAAAGTCCAAATCCAGAAAACAATAAACACTATAAAAATCACAAGATAGTAAGAGATTGAATCAGGTCACTTGATTCAAGTACTCGAGTGAGTATACAACTTACAGATAAAATTACAGTGGTGCCCCACATAACGACGGTAATCCGTTCCGGAAAAATCGTCGCTATCCGGATTTGTCGCTATGCGAAATAAAAAAGCCCATAGGAATGCATTAAAACGCGTTTAATGTGTTCCTATGGGCTTAAAAACTCACCTTATGTGAAAATCCTCCATAGGGGCGGCCATTTTCGGTGCCTCTAAAGCAAGGCAACACAGCGGGCGGCCATTTTGGAACTGCCGATTAGCTGTGCGAAAATGGGGCCTTTGGGAGGACCGCGGGGGAGGGCTCCCCCTCGGTCCTCCCAAAGCCCCCGCCGGCATTTTTGCCCAGCTGATCGGCGGGGCTTCGGGATGATGGGGGGAAGCCCTTCCCCCATCATCCCAAAGCCAGCATTTTTGCCCAGCTGATCAGCGCTTTCCCCCATCATCCCAAAGCCCCGCCGATCAGCTGCGCGAAAATGAGGCGTATGGGAAAAAATCGCAGTGATCGCAAAAGCGATCGCAAAATCTTTATCGCTGTGTGGATTCGTCGTTAAACGGGGCGCCCGTGAAGCGAGGCACCACTGTATTTTTAAAAAAGGAAATGTCAAAACCACTGCTGTAGTAGAACATGGTAAACCTATTAATATTAAAATGGGCCATATAACCATGATGCTGTCTGACTTCTTGGCAAGAGAGGAACAAGAAAAAGAAGGTTAGCATGTAAGTTTCATTTTACAACTGAAGATTCTTTTTGTGCTAAGATTTTTCAAAAAATGTGTGGCACAGAAATAATGAAGTGACACTGGGGAATCCAAAAGTTACCCAAGGCACTCATTCTTTTTTGCAGGTATAAAATAAATGTTTAGCAAATGCAATAGAATGATACTACGGAGTGCTTGTCAGTCAGAGATGACTTAAAAAGAGTGCAGAAAGCTATTTATTAGATTTCAACAGTACTGTGACAATGGTGAACAAATAATGAATCAACATTCCTCACCTTTCTAATAGCTAAATCTCTGATGAAGTTCATCACAGCTTCTCTTTCTGGAGGAATTCTGTATTGACCATTAGGCTTATTTTGATCACTGCACATTTTTGACAACATCATATTTGGAGCGATACCTAAGCAAAAACCAGAGTAAAAAATTACCTTCTTTTGCTGCTCATAATTTCAGACATAAAACTCTGTTGTAATGTATATATACAGTGCAAAGAAGACTGATTTTTATTTCAGATACATTTGTTTAAAGGATGTGAACATGCTCTAGCAAACCAGACTATAACAAGTTTCATTTGATAAAATTTCTTATAATAAAACACATTAATGTGATTGTATGATAACAATGAACTAGTTACAGTATATGAATATGAATCCTTTGTACATGAAGATAGTTGAGGGTAACAACATTACTATGTGTACTAAAATTAATGCTTTTTAACCACAATTTATTTTGCAACTTCAGTTACTAGAAGAACTTTACATCATTAATATAGTCAAGGACATTTTAAAAAACAGGATGTTTCTCTGCAACATTTTACGTTTCTTCTAGGAGTCACTGTATGAGTCTGTGAGTGCTCAAAACCAGCACTTGGAACCTTCTGGTTAGAGAAAGTGTTGGCATTCACCCCATCTCTTCTATCTACAGTGCTCATATTAGTCAGCTGCCCTCAGTTAAAAAAATCTGAATGACATAGCAGCAGTGCAACAGCTACATCACTAGCACCCAAGAGGAAAGGAGGTGTTGGTCTGGAAATGCACAGATTGCTACTTTTAGAAAAAAAATTACAGGTAGGAAACAAACTTTTCTTCTTGTGGTCTCTGCGCACCCACACATACAACTAGCAAGCTTACTTGCAATGGCTCCTGGACCCCAGGCAAGTAGGTGTCTATGTTCACTGTAACACCATAGAAAGGTGCATCCCTCTGAAATCTTACAGTGTCAGATGAAGGATCAAGCCTGAGGCCAATTTGCCTCACAGCACAGTTCTGATAGGAAACTCCATCCAGAGAGGAAGTGGCCAGTGCACTTGTGGAATGCTTCCATGGAACACTTGGCAATTCTGTCTTAGCCAGTTCATCTGATCACCTTTATAATTCAATTGATGAAGCAATGTAAATAGGCTGATAGTCCCTTTTTAGTGTCAGAATGAGCCAGAAAGAGCTGTGCAAACTTACAAAACGCAGTTGCTCTGTGTACTTACTATGCTAAATGTCTTTTTGGAATCTAGTGCATGTAAAAATTTATCTACTGGTGCTAAAGGTACAGGAAAAATTGCTAAGAGAACAATATCTTGTTACAGGTGTAAGGTTAATAGATTAATTCAGCAAGACTGAAAGGTTAATTGAGGGATGACTTTGAGTGACACCAGAGATACAGTAGGCCCACCCACACTGCAGAGACTTAGTCTGCATAACATGCTCCAGTTATGGTCACAATTACATTTAATTTGGCTGTTAGGGGGTCCAAAGAAACAGTGACCAGTGGCTTGAGATGAGACTTTTTAAGCGATGCAATGGCTAAGGAGAGATACCAAGGAGGGATTAGAGATGCAGAGGTTTTGCATTAATCTGTTGTGCTATATAGGTACTTTTTCATTTCTGGAAGCAAGAAGAAGGAAGAATAATACATGGAACATGGGCCTAGGCAGGGTGACAATACAGCTAATTAAATTTTAATGGAGAAGAACAATAAACCTCTGTCCAACAGGGATAACAGAAACTTCAGAACCTGATAAACTGAACAACTGTCTGATCAAATACATCATTGACTGCAAAATATCACAAGGATTGCCACTCATTTCTGGAGACAACATCAGGCCAGAAAAGCACTTGATACAATAATCAACTACACAAGCTGTGGAGTAGAGGGAACCAAGTTTGGTGAGTCCACCACAGAGCGCTAAGAAAGCTGCATGGCTGTTTCCAATGAATTTTGAAGATAATCCTTGTAAATAGAGCAAAGAGTAAGGTAAAAAGTTGAGACAGTAAAATACTTCAGACCTGATGGGAGCAGCAACCAACCAGTCATCAAAGTATGAAATTATTGTTATATCTTATTTCTGTATGTGAGCTATGATTAATGACATGGTCTTTATAAAGACTCTTGGTGCTGTAGAAAATTCAAAGGAAATAACTAAGCTTTGATAGCAGTTGTTGCTGATGGAAAATAAAGGTAGTTGCACTATGGTGATACAAAGTAAATATTCTTCACAATATATTTTTTAAACAGATCCTGCCATGTACCTTCTTGTAAGACTGGTGACAATTACCATTTGGAGGTTCTTTGTTGTTCTATACTTCTTGACACCACACAAGTCTAAGACTAATTGGAAATCAAATCCCATTTCAGTACTATTAAGTACCAGAAACAGTAGCCAGTGGAATATGTGTGTGTGTGTGTGGGGGGGGGTACTCATTTGAAGGCTCCTTTGCATACGTGTAGTAATTTCATATAGCAGGGCTGTGAACAGTAGCCAGAGCAGAATATTCTCTCTAGATGAGGGCAACTGAATTCTATCCAAAAGGTCCAATGAATGAAAGAAAGGACCCATCAATCCAACATTATAGTCCTCAAGTCACACAGATAGCAGGTGAGGTGTGCAACTGGTAGGAAGGGTTCATTCAGCCTGCAAGATGTCAGATGGTGGATGGTCAGCCAATAATTGCATCTCCTTGACGTACATGGCTTGTTTCACTTTCTTTTTCTTTAGATCAGAATATTCCAGTCTCTTTTCTTTTTTACTTTTGAGCAGGTACCACTAGAAATTAGTACCAACAAACTTATTCTGCTGCACTAGCATCTACAATGATGGAGAATATGCAGATTGCTAAGTTCAAAAGAAAACAATGGCACTGAGAATACCATTGACTTCAAGGTCAGTAGGGTGATCAGCACCATAAGGATCTGGAGGACTCTTGCTAATTTTGACATTGTTGTTGTTACATGCCATCAAGTTGCCTATGATTAATAGTAGCCCACCAGATCACCAAAATGTCCTGCTTGAACATTAGGCATTTCTCACTCTTGTTACATGCCATCAAGTTGCCTCTGATTAATAGTAGCCCTATAAATGAGTGATCACCAAAATGTCCTGCTTGAACATCAGGCATTTCTCACTTCATCTAAGGCAGTCTTTCCCAACGTGGGGGTTGTGACCCCCCAAAGCAGTTGCAAAGTGCTTTCTGGGGGTGGTATGTGGGGAGGTGAAAAATAAAGTAAGAAAAAATAAATTAAAGTAAAATAAAGAAAACTGAAAAAGATAAATAAATAAATAAAATAAAAATAAGTGAAATCAACCACCAAAACAAATGGTTTGAAAATTCTCTTTCAGGTGTCCTAATAAATGGCTGCCATGGCACATAAAGCAGAATTTAGGAGCAGAATGTGTACATAACATTTGTATTATAAATAGAAGGGATGGAGTTACTCTCAAAATTCTATCGAGGAGATTACAAAAGGTGGCTACGCACAGATGCAGATTCATATGTGTGATTGGCACAAAAATCCTAAAGAAACATTTGTGAAAAATTCTGGCTAAATCTAAATGAATAATCTGTTTTAGAACTATACTTCCAACATCTACATGAAATTGACTTGAGGCAATCAAAAGATTTAGACAGTGGTTCTTAAGCACATTCTCTCTCTTCTACATTTGATTTAGTTGGAAATATCAAACAGATAAAGGTACTGTTGGTACTCTATGCTTCCATCTTCCACCCCTGTAGGGATTATTGTGCACTGACTTTCTAATGTCCTCCACCTTAAGACTGCTACCTGCCTGCTTTAGGTCCCTCCATCTTGGATCATTGTTTGGCCTTTTTTTCTTGATTTTGGGGGGAATTTGATTGTATTTTTGCCTTTTTTCCCTTGGTTTTCTGGAGAGGTGGTTACATTTTCCTTATTTTGCTATTTTTTTTTCCTTTCTGTTTGTAGAGTGGATGGGTAGGTGTGTATTTTTCCTGTTCAACTCTTTTTTAAAAGAAAAATTGCTATTTGGCTAATATATCATGTATTTATTTTGCTAAAGGTGAGCCATGTACTAAAGACTGGGGAGTGAGCGAGTTGGGTTGCCACTGCCAAGGCAAAAGACCTGCTATGGTCATTGACGACGATGAATTTATGATGATACAAATATACTTACCAGCACTGGCAGTTAGCCCTGTTTTTTGTTCAATTCTAAAGCGAATTTCTTCTACAACATCCTCAGCTGATATTCCAAAGACAATTGATTTTACTGGAGCTGTTGATTGCTGATGTTCTTGTTCATCTAAATGTAGTACAGAAGGGTCAAGTTCTGTTCACACCTTAGAATATCATCATCAAACGAGACTGATCAACAGAAATCTTGATTTAGGGTTGAATAATTACGTGCATATATATTCTTTTTGTCTCATTATTTAAAAACAAGGACAGGACGAGACAAGAAAAAAAAGGAAACTTTACATTTAACTATCTCCTTTTCAAAATTCTTTACACAGTAACAAATGAAGTTCAGCATTCTATTAGCTCCATTTCCTAAATTAATGTTTTACAAATGGCACTATGGGTTCTCAGTCTTATTACTGCTGTGCCAACTCTACAGAACAGTGATGGTGAATCTTTTTGAGCCTGAGTGCTCAAAGTGCAACACAAAATCAACTTATTTATTTCAAAGTGCCAACACTGCAATTAAAACCTGAATACTGAGGTTTTAGTTAAGAAGAACCAACTGCTCTTGCACTGCAAGGGTTAAATGCTTGTTTTTTTTTCCTATGGGCAATATTAACAATAAAAATACTTACAGGTCCTCCAGTCCCCCATTGGGATAGACCACTGAACCCTTCCGCTGGATCAGTGGACCAGCAGAGGGGAGTGCCAAAATTCAGGATCAGAGGACGGGTAAGTGTTTCTCGATGGTGACTTATGGCTCACGTGCCCACAGAGAGGGCTCTGTGTGCCAGCTGTGGCACCCGTGTGTGAGGGTTTGAGTCCTGGCTCCACTTTTTCTTCGAATAAATTGACAGACTTTCTTGGCTTAGAAATAGGAGTCACATTTCTTGGATTATTTAACAAAGCCTATATTTACAAACTTATTCCAACCATTGTCTCCCTCTAACTATGGGTTAGGAGGGGGCTTCCAGTCTTCAAGGTTGGCCACCCAGGGCCCCGGCCAGTCCAGGGTATAGTCTGGGTTTAATAATTGTCCATTCTCCCCCTCCAATACAGGTACAGTGGCTTCGTCCCAGTCATCTGTCCAGATCGGGTCCCGGGAGGAGGCATTCTCCGGCCAAATTCTCCTGAAGGACCTCTCTGCTGCTGCTGCATCATCAGCCAATTCCAGTCTCTCTCTCCTTTCCCTCTCAACCTTCTCTTTTTCCTCCCTCAACTTCTTCCCCCACTCCTTCGTCTCACGCTCCCCCCCCAATAAGAGGGCTTAGGTGTAAGCTCACTTCTTCTCTGGACATCTGCCTCTTCTCTTGGGACCCTCAGCTTCTCCACCTTCCCAGTCCACAGGTCCTCTAGCCATATCCAATCCCAACCATCAGGCAAGCTTGTCCCTCCTTATACCCCCAGCCCTGTCTCTACTTCTACCTGGGGCTGTTGTTCTTTCCCCGCCAAAATATTCCCACCTTCTCCAACGGACATTCCTCTCAATTCCTCTTCCACGCTCCCCGGGCTTTGCTCAGGTGGTCTAATCTTCGTGGGAGGGGGAATGGGTGGTGTTTGCACCTCCTTGTTGGCAGAGAGCGGGAGGGACGGCACTCCCGTGACAGGGGCCTTGCTCTCACCAACAGTCTCACAACGTGCCATAGGTTTGCCATCGCTGCTATAGAACCACGCCACAGGAATACATGAAGAATGATTTTTCACTACAACAAAAATTAACATTGCTGTAGGAGCCCCCCTCCCTATTTGCAGGGGATTGGTTCCAAGTCCCCGCCCCACAGATCATGAAAAACACCACTTATAGCAAATCCTATAACAGTCTGTTGGACCCGTCGTCATTTAGTCGTGTCCGACTCTTCATGACTCCATCGACCAGAGCACGCCAGGCCCTCCTATCTTCCACTGCCTCCCAGAGTTGTGTCAAATTCATGTTGGTAGCATCGATGACACTGTCCAACCATCTCATCCTATGTCATTTCCTTTTCCTCTTGCCTTCACACTTTCCCAACATCAAGGTCTTTTCCAGGGAGTCTTCTCATGAGATGGCCAAAGTATTGGAGCCTCAGCTTCAGAATCTGGCCTTCCAGTGAGCACTCAGGGGTGATTTCCTTTAGAATGGATAGGTTTGTTCTCCTTTCAGTCGAGGGGACTCTCAAGAGCCTCCTCCAGAACCAAAATTCAAAGGTATCAATTCTTGGGCGGTCAGCTTTCTTTATGGTCCACCTCTCACTTCCATACATCACTACAGGAAAAACCATAGCTTTGACTATTCGGACTTTTGTTGGCAAGGTGATGTCTCTGCTTTTTAAGATGCTGTCAAGGTTTGTCATCGCTTTCCTCCCAAGAAGCAGGCGTCTTTTAATTCTGTGGCTTCTTTCTCCATCTGCAGTGATCATGGAGCCCAAGAAAGTAAAATCTGTCACTGCATCCATATCTTCCCCTTCTATTTCCCAGGAGGTGATGGGACCAGTGGCCATGATCTTAGTTTTTTTGATGTCGAGTTTCAGACTGTTTTTTGCACTCTCCTCTTTCACCCTCATTACGAGGTTCTTTAATTCCTCCTCACTTTCTGCCATCAGAGTGGTATCATCTGCATATCGGAGGGTGTTGGACCCAGTACCTGTAATTTTTATCTTGATGGGGTCTCTATAAAAACCAAGCTGAAGTCTCTCCTTTACTAACTTGCTGAAGACTGAAGGTGACCATTTCTCTTTCTCTCTCTCTCTCTCACACACACACACACTCACGTACACATACACACACAGTCTCGATAACTCTGTGGAAGTTCTTCTTTGAAGACCATTAAAAATCCATTTCCTCGTTTGCTTGGGAGTATTGAGGACGGAGCTGTCTGGAAAGCAGGAAGAGGTGGGAAATCTCTCCTAGGAGGCAGTTTGTCTTAAGGCTTGGACTTGTCCTCTGGCCTCACAGCCAACCTGGCTCCGAGTTTTATAGTGACACTGCACTGGAAGGAAGCTGCCTTCCCTATAGAGCAGGGGTCTCAAACATGCGGCCCGGGGGCCTTTTGCAGCCCCCCAGATGATAATTTGTGGCCCCCGACTTGCCTGCCCCCCCGAAGTGGCCACACATCCTCTGCTGTCAAGAGTAAAAAACAGCCTTGCCTTGCGCGCCGGCTCTCTCCCAAGACAGCACCTCTTGCACCCTCCATCCAGAACTGCAGCCTACCAGCCAGCCCACCTGTCTGTCGGCTAAGGAAAATCCTGGGCGGCTTCCTTGGGCTCTTGCTCTGCTTGGCGGAAAATCTGATGTGGCCCAGCCTCACCCAGACTCTGCCTCTAGCGGCCCCCAGGTAAACTGAGTTTAAAACCCCTGCATAGAGCATAGTGTCTGGTTGCCTCTAGTGGCCAGTTCTGATAGCTACATGTGATAATCCATAAATCTAGGTGCTGTGGTGCCCCGCATAGCGAGCGCCCTGTTTAATGACGAATCCGCATAGTGATGCCGATTTTGCGATGTTTAGAATGGCTATCTGGATTCGTCGCTATGCGGGGGGGGGAACCCCATGGGAACGCATTAAACTCCATTTAAAGAGTTCCTATTGGGGAAAAACTCACCGGTAAGCGAAGATTCCCCCATCCGGCCACCATTTTCGCTGCCTGGTAAGCGAGGGCAGGGCACGAAAACACTATGGGCAGCCATTTTGCTGATTCGGCGGCCATTTTCGAACCGCCAATCAGCTGTTCTGCAAACCTCGCAATGCAAAGATCGGTACAATGCGATTTTCGGCCATTGAGAACGTCGCTATGCGATCGCATTAGCGATAGCAAAAAACGCGTCACTATGCGGATTCGTCGTTAAACGGTGCGCTCGTTAAGCAAGGCACCACTGTATATAAAATAATTAAACTTCATTAAAAGCAGCTAAAACCATTAGAAATAAAACAATTAAAACATATTTAATTAAAATTACTAGGGACAGCTGACTAGGTTTTTTGACCAGGAAAGTACCTAGGTAAATAAATTTCAAATGGCTACAGAGGTATAGCATCTTGAATTAGATCACTCCACATGTGAGACAGAGAAGGATGTCCCTTACAATATAATGAAATGGATTTCACCAAACCCCAGTAGAATGGCTTGGGTCCAAGCTGTCTTAAATACTGCATTTCCCTTTACGAGTCTGACCAGGCTTTAAGATAATCAGGGGAGCCCTTTCTGTCATTCCCACCAATCTCACAGATCCATTTGGTGGGGCACAGGAGAGGGCCTTTTCTGTCACTGTTCCCAAAATCTGGAAATTCCTCCCACAGAAGGCCACATTAGCTCCATCTCTGCTGCCTTTCTACATGCAGGCAAAGATCTTTCTCTTCAGGAAGGCTTTCCTTTAGTAATTGGCTGTTGGGGATGAGTGGTTATAAAATGGGATTGTTTGTGCTTTTGCTGCTTTTAACATGTTTTTAGTATTGTTTTTAGCTACTATTTTAATATTTCTTTAGCTGTAAGCTGCCTTGGAAAAGGCAAAATATAAATATTCTAAATAAATAAATAATAAATAACTTCGATGCCACACTGCATTAACTGCAATCTGAAAACCAAGCTTAAGGATAAGCCCAGCAGGACCCCCATATCTGCACCGTAACACTCCAGTCTTGGGGTTATCAATGCATGAATTCTTGTGGTGTGTTTTTTAAATTGCAAGATGTCTGCAGCTTCACACAATAGAATTGGGTTTAGCTGGAGATGAAACATTAAAAATACAAATGTGTGGGTGGTTTCCAGAAATGTTCTAAACATATTATTCTGAAAAAAAAAACACACAAACTACATATAATAACAGAGTAATGTTTTAAAATATTCTGTGCTGTATAATTTTCTTTCTTAGTAGAACACAATGTTAAAGCAAGATAAAATGTTCTTCCATCTGTTAGTTTCAGATAATTGCTTACCATTTAGAGTAGAGCTAGATGTTGGGATTAAATGCCTTCTTTTGTCTTCATCCCAGTTCTTTCGCTCTTCTAAATATTCTGTGATGTTCAAGTAGGCTTCGTCAAGGCCCACAGGCATAAAGTATGGATCATATTCAGCCAGTATTTCCCTGACCTTAATAAATAAAAATACAAAATTGGGCTACACAACTTCTTTGAAGTATTCATCAACTAGTGAATGTTAATATTACGTATCTCAGTACAGCAGGAGACATTGGGGGCTGCAGAAAGACTGGAATTAGTGAAAGGTTTATTCTCTCCCTCTTCCCACTAGCCGGCACACTTTCTCTGGCAGAGAATTTCAGTACTTTATGAATGTGTGTGAATTAAAGTATTTGTCTGAATAAAGTATCTGTACCACCTCAATATCCGTACTGATTAAAATCTGCATTTTAATAAAATTTTGTTCTGGTTGAATTGATTTGAGATGGAACCTACCTATACATATTCATACACAAATATTTTTAGTATTATATTTCCTTACATTTTTGATGCCTAGTCTGTTCACTCTGTGCTACTGTACACTCTAAATCTCTAAATAATTATTGCCACAATTAGTTTTCAGAAAACAAGGTGGCAAGATTTCCAGTCTTTGACAATTCCTATATTATGCATAAGTACCTGGATTCATATTTTAATATATCAATATGACAAACATACTGATATATTAAAATGTAATTAAGGAAATCATTAAACAATGTTCACTAAATCCTAAATATTGATAGCAAATCAAATTCAGCAATATTTGCAGATGACATTAGCATATAAATTATCTTAAAGATTTTAAAATTTATTTAAACAATTTATATTTACGTGTTGTATGCATAAAATCAATGGGGATGGGGTGAGTCAATGCCTCTATGAATCCTCTTGATTTAACTAATCTTACTCTAGTTCAGGGGTTTTAAACTCAATTAACCTGGGGGGCACTAGAGACAGAGTCTGGGTGAGGCTGGGCCGCATCAGATATTCTGCCAAGGGGAG